GTCTAGCTTTTCGCATTGATTCGGGAAGGTATGCATAGACGATGCTTTTAATATTTTTCTATAGGTTTGAATTTTTGACGATGTGTCCACTTTAAGTAACAAACCAAATAGGTTTATATTTGAATTGGCTCTTTAGTATGTCTTGTCACTACAGGCCGCTAACAATGCAACTGAAAGGTACATAATACTACTTCATTTAAATTCAAGCGACGCGGCGGCGACAAAGAACCAATGAATATTTAAGTATGCCATAAACACTTCCTTTTTCGATGGGCATCCGTCTGAAAGCTCAGAATATTCGCAATTTTCTGCAGTAACCTTAATGGTTTTAAGTTTTTTCGCTAATTGTACGCAAAGTACAAATGTGGTTTTATTAACTTTATGAAAAACAATTTGGTTGCAGTTCTGTAAAAAGATAAAAATGAAGTCAAGTTGATCGTCTGACTGCACGTCGAAAATGAATCTGATATACATTATTAGCTTCTTACAGTTTTTCATACATTTCTATGAATCTTTATCCAGATTTTGAGGTAACATTAAAATGCTGCATAGAAAATGCTGCAAATTTATTAAACAAATTTAACTGCAGAGCTCCAGATCATCTATTTTTCCACACCTGGTGACGGTTTAATTATAATAATAATAAACGTCTTTTATTAACGGGCGAAGTTTAGCTTGAAGTTATTCTGTCACTTAACCCTAGGTGTAATACACCGAAATATTGTTTTTTACCCATTTGTATCATTTTATACTCATGAAACTATAGTAACGTAAACAGTAAATTGTAACATTTATAGAAGCAACAACAATAAAATTTTGAAATCATCGATCTGACCGTTTAGGAAATAGCAACATATTGGTAATCTTTCGAGCAGGATCTAACGAGGATCACATTTATCAACACTCCTTGAAGATTGAGTGCCATTTGAGAAATTATCTTTCCGTGAATTTTAAACAACGTAATATGTTTGAAATAATGGTTATTGTTCAGCAAAGTAACGGGTGATTTTTTAAGAGGTATAGGATTTGATTTTCAAAACAAAAAATTTGAAAAAACGATTAAACCTTTATTTGAGTCGATAGAACGGTCGATATAATTTAATGTTTAAAGATTATTTCATGTAAATGTTGGGCGCGGCTCCGCTTTAGATGGCCCATGTTCAAGGTCCAATTTTGGCACACTCTCTCCAACATATCGGCCGGTATCTCACGAATAAATGCTTCAATATTGGCTTCCAGTGCGTCAACCGTTGCTGGTTTATCCCTGTAGACATTAGCCTTAACATGTCCCCACAAGAAATAGTCCAACGGCGTTAAATCACACGATCTAGGCGGTCAGTGATTTTTTCGGGATGCATTGGTAGCTCTTGCAATGCTTCTGGCTGGTCTTCACTCCAGATGCGGCAATTTTGCTTGTTAACGTACCCATTCAACCAGAAATGAGCTTCGTCGCTGAACACAATTTTTCGATAAAAATGTGGATCTTCCTCCAACTTTGCCAGCGCCCATTCACCAAATGGGAAACGTTGTGGGAGGTCGTGTGGCTTCAATTCTTGCACCAGCTGTATCTTATAAGGTTTTACACCCAAATCCTGTCGCAAAATTTTCCACGTAGTGGAGTAACAGAGGCCCAATTGCTGCGAATGGCGGCGAATCGACATTTCACGGTCATCACTAACACTGGCGGATACAGCCGCAATATTTTCTTCAGTCCTCACTCTACGTCTGCGTCTTGGTGGTTTAATGTCCAATAATGTAAACTGGGTTCGAAATTTAGTCACAAGCTTCCGAATAGCTCCCTCAGTAGGCCGACCAAATTGCCCATAAATTGGAAGCAGTGCTCGATGCACTCTCTTAACCGAGCATGAATTTTGATACTAAAATTCAATAATTTACAAGCGTTGTTCGTTCGTAAGTCGATTCATGGTTAAATTATAGACCAAACTGAACAAGTTTAACAATGACACAAGACACGATTCACGCGTCATCTGTCAAAAACAGTGTTGCCAAAAAGATACTAGCAAAAAAATCACCCATTATATTGTTCCCTTTGGCGCGCCACAACGATCAAACCTAGAGACCTTTGCTGTTTTTATTCTTCATAAATAACCTTGCCGCTTCAGGAGGATCTAGATACTATCTCAATAACTTTCTCTTCTTGAACATTTCCAAGTGTAAGTTTGTTCATATAGTCGCAAAATTAACTCGATTATCTTTGATTATTTCCATTTAAAATGCGGTTTTGGATAGGACAACCGACTGACCATGTAGCATGCGTCACTTCCGAAGCGATACGGATTCTAGGTTTTATAATGGGTAAATGTCGAGCTTTTTCCAACGAAGCAGCACTAAAAACACTTTTTATTTTGCTGGTGCGACCAAAACCTTAGTACGCTTCTTTGATATGAAACACTTTCTATGCATATCTTATAAATATTTTAGGACCTGTACAAGAAATATTGCGCTTATAAAATTGATGGCGAATATATACTAAGTGACATATAAATTCGAACACCCAGTTTAAATGGTTTTATTTTAATAAAATTTTGTATAAGTACTTAATGAAGCATAATAAGTAAATGATAAAAATTTCAAAATGATTGCACTGCTTTAAAGCCCTTTGACCTTTAATAATGTGTGGATGCACCCTGATCTGCTACGCATTCTCCAACGCGCCTAGGCATGCTTCTGATCAGGTGGTCAATGTCCTCCTGTGGTATCTCATTCCAGGCAACCACCAACTCCTCTCGAAGTGCTTCTAGAGTCTGAGGAGGACGTTGCAAATTGAGCAATCTCCTACCCATCATATCCCACACGTGCTCAATTGGGGATAAGTCGGGAGATCTTGGTGGCCATGGTAACAATGTGACATCATTATGTTGAAAGAAGTCTATTGTGACTCTTGCAACATGTGGTCGGGCATTATCTTGTTGGAAAATTCCCTGCCAGGGTGTCAAGACAGGGTAAAAGATGGGGTTCTAGAACTTCGTGGATATAACGCTGCGCGTTCATGTTACCTCTGATGAAGATTAAAGGTGACCTGGAACCATAAGCTATAGCACCCCAAACCATAACTCCAACAGTGTGTTGAACATGTCTTTCAACAAAAAACTGTGGATTCCTCCTTTCACCACGTCGCCTTCTAACCCTGGCACGACCATCGTGCATGCCTAAACAAAATCGAGACTTGTCACTAAAGACAATACTGTTCCATTCCTGATCCCAGAGTGACCGTTGTCTGCACCACTCAAGGCGATTACGTCGGTGTTCTCGAGTTAAAGAGAGGACCCAGTGTGGCCGGTATGAAAACAAGCCAAAACTTCTCATTCGTCGGTAAACACTTCGCATGCCAAATAGGTCTTCCGTGTTCTGCAAACCATTCATTTGCAATGGACCTGGTAGTGGAGAAACGGTCCCTTAAGGCCAATAATCTTAGGCGGCGATCATCACGGTCTGTTGTTCTACGGCGGCGTCCAGTGCCCCTTGCTCTTTGCGTACGGCCTTCTCGAAGCCATGCCTGACAATACCTAACCACAGTGTTTACACTTCTTTGCACTCTAACTGCAATTGCCCGAAAAGAAAGTCCAGCTTCTCGAAGTCCCACTATACGGCCCCTATCAAACTCACTAAGTTGACGAAATCGTACAAGTCTCCGTACTCTAGGCATCGTAACCGATCGTAAAGGATGTCAAGAACCAAAATCCGCCAACGTTGATTCTTTACTGCGGCTGAAATATTCATTTTTAGAGCGTTAGTGAATTAAAAAAAAGCAGTATAAAAACCGGAATGTCCAACTGATAAGGCTGAAAATTTTTTCACTTGTTATTTACAGTAAGATAAATACATTCACCAACTTTTATTAAAATAAAACCATTTAAACTGGGTGTTCGGATTTATATGTCACTTAGTATACAAAAGTCAGTCAATTCATCCTGCTGCAGTGTTTCAACCTAGAGGCTCTACAATCAAGACGTTCCGTTGTTAAGAGCCAGTACTTCTCCAGAGGTTGAATCTCTGTATATCGATAAATTCGAGAAGGACTCAACTTTCTACTGCAGTACCTCACGTTCCCAACGTATTATTTTATTCACTGCTATATTCTATTTGCAATAATAATTATAATTCTGTAGCAGACACGACTGACATTAATTTCGATTGTATCGGTAAAATCTTGTCAAACTTCAGGGACTATTACAATAGCTAATTTTTTATGTTGTTTCATGTGGTCCTTGTATGCACACTATTAGTTAAGTTACCATTACATTGCCCTGTAATTGGATTAGTCTGTTGGACAAGTATGTATAGATAAATAAAGAAACAATAACGCTTTCTTGAGTAGTACGTTGTAACAGTTATCACAGGTTTTCATAATTTTAAAATTTTTCACATTTTTCGTCATTTTCGATTGCTTGTTTTCAGAATTTTAAAATTTCTTAGAAGTCCACAATTTTCAATAGCATAAAAATTTTCAGATTTTGCAAAGTTTTTAAGATTCTCAAAAAATGTGGTAGTTCTAAGAATTTTGAAAACGTGTGATAACTGTTGCAGACTAATGTGAGTCTTAGACTCGAAAGTTGATGTTATTTTCCTAAAAAACATAATAGTGTTCGGATAGTTCGATATAAATCTATGACACGAATATGTGAAAAACAATTATTTGTGTTGTGCAAAGTACCAGCTTGATTTCAAATTGCTTTGAATACCAATAAGGCAGACATACTTTGAAATGCATGCTATTTTCCAGTTCGTCGAACTCAATACATACACTAAACCACTTTCGTTCTCTGACACGTTCCGTTAATTACGTCACTAAGGTTGACAAGGATTAATATCAAATTACCCGATAATCGCGGTTCCCATTTGGGAATATCAATGAGCACAAATTTGTGTATATATATATATATATATATAGAATGGCAGTTTCCTGCACTTATTCGCAAGCTGATATGAAAAAGGAACTGCTTATCATCCGACTTTGGTTTTAACTAATGTTTCCGGTAGTGGAATTGTTTGCAAGGTCTCAGTGAAGAATGTCTTTCCCACGTTAATACATCTGCTTCGCATGTTTCTAATAGTACAATTTTAGCAGATATCATAAAGCTACTGATAGTGCATGATGGGTAAGGTAATGTTCTTACTTGACTGATTTCAAACTAGCTGGAGAGTTCATAAACTATCTAAATGCATGCATATTGTTGGTGTGTGTTATATCCAGCTAGTCTATAAACTGTTCAAGATTCATCGCTACATAACAGACCATAAAAAGGACACAAACGAAGCGGCAATTTTAGCTAGGTAACTATCCATAGTAATTGGATTTTGAGCATTGAGCGTTGATGTTTTGATGTTGTCTTGCCATCAAAAGTATCACCCCCTATCATAGTTTGGATAGTGCCATGACTTCAAAATACAAGTGTTAGAATTAGGTGCTTTGAGGTGTACGAGGTGACCGTCAATGTTTTCGACCTAAAAGGGCTAAAGAGGTAAGAATGTGGAATTTATCTGGTACTATGGGCCACGCGCGCTTGCCTCTAGGATACGAACTGCGGAAAAAGCGTTGTACGTTATTAAAAATTGTATAACAAGGCTTTGGAATAAACTGAGCCCCTATACTCTTTGAGGCCTGATAGGGGAAGGTTTCAACTCAGTTTAGACGCTTGGCAGCCTCAAAAATAATGGTTTTCAACCGAGTTTTTCAAGCATTAAAAATGTTCATTTTTAAGGTTTTCCAGACTTCAAATCGCTTATAACGAATACGGTTAACTATATAAAAGTTACTGAGAACCCCTTTTTGTCCAAAATGAACCAAAAAATCTAAAAAAAACTTATATAATATCCATCGTACCTGATTCTGAAAAAAAGACAAGATGGAAAATATCTACCACGAATTCGAGGCTTCGTCTAATTGCTGTTTGTATATCACTACAGATGTAAGTAGCACAGAAAGTGAGCATTAATTAAAAAATATGGCTACTCGCAAAAGTGATAAAAACCCTTCAAACAAAATTTCTACAAGCGCCCAAAAATTAGCTTCAAAGATGTAAAACAAAAATGGAGTTAGACTAATTATCAGGAGCTTATTTTGTTGTTTTGTTCTTATAAATCAATCGCAACTGGACTAGTTTTCAAAAATTAAGTTTTGAATGACATGGATTTTCGGGATGTAGACACCAGAAGACAAAAGAAAAATGATTCCTATTAACTGGTTATAGAAGCATACGTATTTTTGTAGTTTGGAGTTGTTTTTTATTTTGAAGAAAATATTGAGTATTTTCACAGCAATGATTATGATAACAAACGCATTTCTGTTAATGATCATATGTTTCAATAACAAAAGACAGTTAAACCTGAAGACATATACTAAGTGACATATAAATCCGAACACCCAGATTAAATGGTTTTATTTTAATAAAAGTTGGTGAATGTATTTATCTTACTGTAAATAACAAGTGAAAAAATTTTCAGCCTTATCAGTTGGACATTCCGGTTTTTATACTGCTTTTTTTCATTCACTAACGCTCTAAAAATGAATATTTCAGCCGCAGTAAAGAATCAACGTTGGCGGATTTTGGTTCTTGACATCCTTTACGATCGGTTACGATGCCTAGAGTACGGAGACCTGTACGATTTCGTCAACTTAGTGAGTTTGATAGGGGCCGTATAGTAGGACTTCGGGAAGCTGGACTTTCTTTTCGGGCAATTGCAGTTAGAGTGCAAAGAAGAGTAGACACTGTGGTTAGGTGTTGTCAGGCATGGCTTCGAGAAGGCCGTACGCAAAGAGCAAGGGGCACTGGTCGCCGCCGAAGAACATCAGACCGTGAAGATCGCGGCCTAAGATTATTGGCCTTAAGGGACCGTTTCTCCACTACCAGGTCCATTGCAAATGAATGGTTTGCAGAACACGGAAGACCTATTGGCATGCAAAGTGTTTACCGACGAATGAGAAGTTTTGGCTTGTTTTCATACCGGCCACACTGGGTCCTCCCTTTAACTCGAGAACACCGACGTAATCGTCTTGAGAGGTACAGACAACGGTTACTCTGGGATCAGGAATGAAACAGTATTGTCTTTAGTGACGAGTCTCGATTTTGTTTAGGCATGCACGATGGTCGTGCCAGGGTTAGAAGGCGACGTGGTGAAAGGAGGAATCCACAGTTTTTTGTTGAAAGACATGTTCATCACACTGTTGGAGTTATGGTTTGGGGTGCTATAGCTTATGGTTCCAGGTCACCTTTTATCTTCATCAGAGGTAACATGAACGCGCAGCGTTATATCCACGAAGTTCTAGAACTCCATCTTTTACACTTTATCTTGACACCCTGGCAGATCCAACTTTCCAACAAGATAATGCCCGTCCACATGTTGCAAGAGTCACAATAAACTTCTTTCAACATAATGATGTCACATTGTTACCATGGCCACCAAGATCTCCCGACTTATCCCCAATTGAGCACGTGTGGGATATGATGGGTAGGAGATTGCTCAATTTGCAACGTCCTCCTCAGACTCTAGAAGCACTTCGAGAGGAGTTGGTGGTTGCCTGGAATGAGATACCACAGGAGGACATTGACCACCTGATCAGAAGCATGCCTAGGCGCGTTGGAGGATGCGTAGCACATCAGGGTGCATCCACACATTATTAAAAGTCAAAGGGCTTTAAAGCAGTGCAATCATTTTGAAATTTTTATCATTTACTTATTATGCTTCATTAAGTACTTATACAAAATTTTATTAAAATAAAACCATTTAAACTGGGTGTTCGGATTTATATGTCACTTAGTATAAATAATAAAGTTATAACCAAAGAATTTAAATCAATTCTTCGGCATGAACTTGTTTTATGTGCGTAAAGTGCAAGGTCACTATCATACAATACAGTAATAAACTTAACGTATTAGTTAATTTGTATGCTCTGTAATAAAAAGTCCGTTATTTAGTTAAGAGGCAGAATTAATCACAGCATAAGTGAGTGAAAAATGACTCAGTCACGGAAACAGTTCGATTTCTACATTTTCGGCGTGTCCACTTTCTTTATGGATGAGTCACGGCCTTGATGACAGGACGTAAACTGGCTATTCCGTAGGGGAAACTTTTACGTCATAGCGAAGAATTTTTTTTAGTAGACCAAAATATAGTCAACTCCTACGAAATTTAATATCTTTAATGGAAAAAATGGTAATTTACAAACTTCCTTGGACTGCGGTGTAAAAATGCGTATCCACCAGTGTTCGCAAACATTTCGCACTTTTTAAATAAATGATAAAATGATGTATAATCAAATAAATGAATCCAATTACTCATGTTCATGTGAAGAATGAAGTAGTGAATTATATTCATCATGCTTGAAAAATGCTTCTTTTTATGCAATGTTGTAGACTGTAGAGGATCTGTGAGATATTACCAATTACAAATAGCCCAAGCGGTACTGTCAAGATTATGTTGATTAAACATCACAAACTTCACAAAAACAGTAATTGAAAAGACTGTTTTCCATGTACAATTTTTACTTCCCACGCCTACTGGCGGGAAAATATTGCAATCGCAAAAATGTTCGAAAATGAGATATGTTTTTTGAATGTTATATGACATTTATGTCACGAAAACCCGTGTCACTCATTGCCAGTCGGTCTGTCTGTGTGCCGGTCGGCCCGCTAATCTTATAACCGCCTATAACTTAAGAATTGCCGCTCGGACTTCGATGAAATTTTCACACAATGTTACTACTACGCCAGGGACGCAAACATTTTTGAAAATCGGTCCAGAGAAAAAGGCCTGAAACGAAATAAGTGAAAAATCGCCCGAACTTCATTTTTAGACGTTTCAGAAGATCCTGATCGTTTTTGAAAAAACATTTATAGGGTTGGTGGTTGTAAGGGGTGGGGAGGGTTTATCTCAATTTTTTAATGCTGGTACATTTATACGCTGCCAACATTGGTAATTCTGCGACTCTATTAGACATATTTCACACATCATAGATTTCCCTGTACATTAGCCCTGTAAACTTGAAAAAAAAACTCGGGAGAGGCGACGTTTCCAGATCTACTACCGTTAGGGCAGGGAAAGAATGTCTATGGACTAATTGTATGGACCTGTTTGACTGACTTTTTTCTCGGAGGATCTAGTTTGGGCTGAACATATTCCTTTCTGTACTGATAAGGGAGTCAACCTACTTGACGCCATTTTTTCTTACTACATTTTTTTTATCAGTCAATGCAGAAAAATAGAATGCCTAGATTCATGAAAAAACTGGTAAATATGTGTGTGAATTTTGCATTCAATTCGGATGATCTATCTTCCAGATTTTGGACTGTCATATCATTTGAAAAAAACACATCGGACCTGTGCTTCTGGAGGTTGTACTTGTTACTTTACTCGAATTTGATGAAATACTTCAAAAACTTTAATCTCTCCGTAATCATTTTTTCTTCCACGTAGGCACAATCTCAGCTTCCAATATTTTTTTGAAATGGCCTGGCAAGAGAGTAATTCTCCCTATGCTTACCCGGACTTTATGTCCTGAAAATAATATACATTTTGCGACACTCTGCACTTTCAATTTTTATATATTTTTGATTTAACCACTATCATTGATCTTATTATCTTATTTCTTTAATTGTTTCAGGCACATGTCCTCCAGTACCACAACCGGCCACTTCGCGACCTGGAACCGCATGTCTTCGCAGTAGCCGAGGCTGCTTACGCCCACCTGCAGCAAACCAGCGCTCCGCCCCTTCCAAATGCTACGCCCACAAGTATCACGCCGCCCCCAGTACACAGGAACCAGAGCATAGTCATCAGCGGGGAGAGTGGGGCGGGAAAGACGGAGACAACCAAGTTCATATTGCAGTATCTGTGCAGCGTCACTCAAGGCGTATCAACATGGGTGGAGCAGCAGATTTTGGAAGCGAATACTATTTTAGAAGCGTTCGGTTAGTGTAATCATTGACTAACGTTTTCTACCTGAAGATAGCTAACCTAATGCTATATTGTCGTGTCCATATAATTATCCGAGATAACTTTCGCCATCGTCATTTCGTATATTGTCTAACCTTGAGACCTGACAACTCCGCCTCCAAAGCGTTCAGTCTACCCCTATTGTGCGCTCACCCCCCATGTTTCGGCCCAGTATGTACTTTCCAGGATAGTCTTATAAATGGTTCGTTTTGTTTTCTTCGTGATTTTATCGTTACATAAAACGGGATTCAATCGTTTAATAACCCGCTTCCCTTGTAGTATTTTATTCCGAATCTCTTTGTCACTGTTTCCGTTCTCCGAAATTGTAACTCGTAAGTATTTAAATTTCTTACAATTTGTTACCGTGCCAATATTCAGATCACTTTGTTTTCGAATTATTTTTTTTTTTTGGGACAAACTTCAGTTCTTCCTCTATTCTTTCCTTTATGACCGTCCTATAAAGTCTTGCAAAGGAACAGATAACATTGACTCCTCTAGAATTCTTGCATTCTTTCCTGTTACCCTTTTTGAAAATAGATGTTATGTAGGCAGTTCCCCACTCGTCAGGTACATTATCTCCTACTATTCGTCATTTGTTTGTCTGGGCGGTCCGTAGGACCTTTGCTCATTAGTCACTGTCTAATGTACGTTAGTCGAATCTGTCAGTAGCCCAGAAACCAGACAATGTCAAGGAAAAAGAGAAAGGGAAAGAGAAGAAAAAAGGAGAAGAGCAAAGAAAAACAGAAGTGTTTAGTTTAAGAGGAAACTCCTAGGCTTTTTGACTTGGTACACGGATTAATTTTGAGGTGAACTAAACAAAGTTTGATTCGGTTTTGTTAGAGTGTAATTTTAAATTTACTAAAAGTTCGCGCTAATTTTTTATTACAGTGCAAGCCGTGGCCTTGAATGCTTACGAACTTGCTCCACTGTGTAGTCCACTGAATCACGCAACAGAGCGTTGCTGTGCGATTCCGCTTGACTATAACGTCGCTGCGCCTGAAGCTTGACATAATCCCTCAAGTAAGGAATGTCAAGGTCTCTGTGTAGTGTCTCGTTTGAGACATACCATGGAGCGTTGCAAATTGTTCGCAAAGTTCTGCTTTGCAGCACTTGAAGACTTTGCATGTGTGTCTTGACAAGAAAACACCAAGCCGCACATGCATAAGTAATGACTGGTCTAATAATCATTTTATATAGGCGAACTTTGTTTATAAAACTCAATTTGGAGGATCTACATAACAAAGGATATAGTTGCCGAAACGCAATATGGAATTTTGTTTTCAAGGCTGCTGTATGTTTCTGCCAGGTCATGCCTTTATCAAGGGTGACACAGAGGTACTTGGCAGATTTGTCCATGGTACACGATTGCCGTCTACAGAAACCTCTGCTGGGGGGCCGCGACGTTTTTTGGTACAATAAATAGCCTGCGTTTTCGAATAATTAATTTTAATCAGCCACCATTCCGCCCACTCTAGTACTTCGTCCACCGCACTCTGCAACCAGATCACCAGTACACGACTGGGCGACAAGTACAGTGTCGTCAGCATATAGGTAGACTTCACAGTTGCTGGGGCAAGGGACATCATGGATGAAAAGCGAATAAAGGATTGGTCCTAGAAGCGAGCCCTGAGGAACACCGGCTCGAATAGGCCGTGTTGTTGACAAAACATTGTTAATTTTGATTCGAAACTTCCTTCCTTCAAGAAAGGATTTGAGTAATTTTAGGAGCCAAAAAGGAAAACCGAATTGAACGTCAGGAATCACGTGGTGATTTGACGAAAAATTCTCAAGATGCTGCCTGCTTATACATATAAATGCTATGGGTACACCTCCTGGGTCAGGGGCCTTCAGATTCTTCATTCTACTGAAAGCGAGCATTATCTCCTTTTTGTCAATCCAAGAAAGCCTCATTTGACACTTTGCTGTCTATAAAAGCAGGTCGCGTTTCAGTTGACAGCGTACGATAATGGCCTTTTCACATTTCAAGACTAATTAAACTTATCCCTGCTACTGTTCTTATTGTCTGCCCTTAGAGTTTCTAATGTTCGACGAGCCTTATTTTCCCTAGTATTCTGCGCATGCGTTTTTCCATACTCTGTCTCTTGCTTTTTCCATCGCTCTTTGAGATTCTCCTCTATACCTGCAGTGCTCTTCACTGTCAGGCACATCTGTTGTTATCATCCATTTTCTATAAGACTGCTTCTTTTTCGCCATAAATTCTTCTATTTCTGTTGACTGCCATGGAGGTAAATTACCCTTTTGACGATGTCTTTCTTTGTCTCCCAACGCTGCCTTCGCAGCTTCGTAAGTGTATTTTGTGCCAAATGGGCAGGAAGATATTTGGTATCTTTTTAAATAACAAGTATTTTACTTCCATTTCCATTTTGACGACGTCATTATAATTTTTTGTGCAGCAATGCCTGGTAACGCTTCATACACCGATCTAGTTGTCTAGTCATTTCAACGAGAGCAATCCCAAACATAGGGTCTCCTATTTTTTTTTCGAAAGTTAAAAAACCAGTACATTGATGATGTATGAAGCTTAAGCCGTGGTCGTTTTTTTTTTTCTACGTAATATCCACTCCGGTTGACGCACATTTGTAGAAGTCCTGGAAGTTTTTGAATGTCCATTTAATACCGGTTAACCCCCCGGCCCTCGAACAAGCATTGAACCTCATCCAGCCATCTTACTAGTTAAGTGACATACTGAATCGTTACTAGTTCGACTCTTAATAAGGACATCTGTCGATCCTTCCTTGCGATCCCTAAAGCAATCTCTAAGAATGTGGAACTATTGCTCCGAGGAGAACGTGGGCTTTGTCGACGGTAACCGAACCGAACGATATATCTTGATAGCTGCACTTGAGGCAATACGCGGCCGCTACTTTTTTATAATGAGAATCTAGGTTCTTATCTTCGCATTGTCTCATTATTCTGTTTTCTTGTAGGAAACGCGAGGACGGTGAGAAACGACAATTCCAGCAGGTTCGGAAAATTTATGCAAGTTTGTTTCGATTCGAGATGGATGATAGCCGGATGCATTATACAGGACTACCTCTTGGAACAGTCGAGGTTAACATTTCAAGGCCCAGGAGAAAGGAACTATCATATCTTTTATCAGCTAATCGAAGAGGCGAAGGTAATTGTTAAGGACATTATGACATATATAGGGTGTTCGGAAGATCAATTTCAACCTAATACATCCCATTTGAAACTTATTAAGCGACATATACCTTAGTGTAAGGTCGAACTGTTTTTAAACTTGTGAAATCCGACAAAAAAAATTCATGCGATAACATGAAAGAAGTTTCAATTCATTATTAAACAATTGATGTTTTATCGCAAGATTTTACCTTTTATATAGGATTTCACAAAATTGCGCGTAACTCAAAAACGGTTCGACTTTGTACTAAGGCATATGAGGCTCCATTAGTTCCAAGTGGGGTACACTATCACTCCTTGAAAGGTTGGACCTTGCATATGTACTTGTATATACAGTACTTTAAATATTATTTTTAACTTTATCATCTTCTAAGAGGATGTAGAATGACATCCTAGAATAAAAAGTTATTATTATATTACGCGGCCAATTGGCGTTCCTGTGAGTTAATGAAAACGCGGATTTCTAATTTTCGAGCCACATGTTATAATAAAGCATATCTGAGGATTTTCTGAACGTCCGGCAACACTGCCCGAATAAAGCACACGAAATATCCGGATCACAGAACGGTGCGTGGGAGAGGAACGCTGTTGCTGTATAAAGTTCGACAAAAATAGATCTACGTACATCGTCGTTTCCCACTCATTTTCAAATACTCCCAATTTTTCAAGCTCTCAAAATAATGAGATTAATACAATCAACAACAATACTCTGCATCGACTTGTAAACGATAATTATTAGAAATATTGAAAAATTGATAAAGGATTTAATACCAGTGACAATTATGTACCCAGCGAGCCAAAAAGCGCTACTTGAATGCACACATTTATTATTGAGCTAGAAATTTTTTCATTATCGTTATTCACCTATAGGGGAAATATCATACCTCCTTAGAGGAATGCGGTATGGCATAATTTCAGCTTAGTAGTGAAAAAATATATTCACGTTGATCTGTACTTTCAAAAAGGCCACCGAAACTCCGGTAAACTAATGTGGTTTCATATGGCCAGAGAAACATTGAGGTCGATAAGGATAATACAGGGTGACTTTGAAGTTGAGTCATTAATTTTCAGATAATGATTGTAGAAGGAAGATAAACCAAAATATGTGTGTAAAAATAAAAAAAAAATAAAAAAAAATGTTACCTTGTTTAATAAAGTATCCTCCCGACAAGTATTTCAGTGCGGACCTGTATTTGATCGTGCGGTCTTGGAGCAGCATGCCCTCACCTGTGAGGTCTTAAGTCACCTGATTCACGAGCCCTTTGTACTACATTAACAAAGGCACGAGGGGTTGGTTGCACTCGATTGGGAAACCGATTCGCATAAATCCGTGATGCATCCGGGAGCATTTTGTAAAGACTGCCCCCCCGTAAATAAGAATCATGTCCACAAGTTCAGCATTTTCGTAAACATGTGCCATTTTTGATTTCGTTTGAACCACGCAACACACTACTATTCACTTACGCGTTATCGACTGACGAAAAACATCGTGATAAACGTTTCAAATTCTTTCGCTTTTTTGTTTCCGATGCGATGAACCGGTCAGGCGGATTATATCCGTTGTCGCCAAACACGAGCATATAATAGGCAGGGCGGTACTCAAACTTCCAAAGGGCTATAACTTTGTTACTTTAATTTTACCAGAAAAATGGTAAAGGAAAAAAACATTTCTTTTGATCAGATCTACTCACTGTTAAAATAAATGACTCAACTTCGAAGTCACCCTGTATATCAAGTTTCTCATAGAATCATGTCTCAATATAAGACATATGATAATAAATGACCAAACGTTTCGTAAAGATAAATATTAAAATCAAAGGTCTTTGTTTTCAGCACGACAAAGATTTTGCATCTCAACTATATCTGAGGGACGCAACATTCTACAATTACCTCAACCAGTCCGACAGTATAGACATAGAAGGTGAAAGGCGACGATTGGATAGCATCAGATTAGCCTTCAACGTTCTTCAAGTTCCTTCGAATAAATGCCAAGGAATATTTCAAACTTTGTCTGCCATTTTGTGGTTGGGGAATTTGCGATTCGAGGACATTGATGGAGAGAGATGTTGTTTGGCGAAAGGTGATGCAGAAATCATTGAAATCCTGTCCAAATTGTTGGGATTGGATGTTGAAGATATACAGCAGGTTGTGTTACTGAGGCAGATCAATGTGAGGGGGAACATCACGGAAATTCCACTGAAAATACAAGAGGTATGCAAAAAATGGCGCCAAATGGGTTGCCTCCACGCAACGCTGCCATCAAAGTATTATGTTTGGGATGAGCCTCTATGACAAAAAAGTTAACTACGAAGAAGTGTAGTATAAAATTAAATGTTCCAAATCAGTCAAACAATTTTTGGGTACAATTTGGGGCTCTTTAGGTTTTAAGCAATTTTTATTTTTTTCGTTTTTTTGTCGTCAGCCACAGGACCGATTTTCAAAGTCTCTTCATCCTTTTCATATATAAGTAATCTTGTGTGAAAATTTCATCAAAATCCGAGTAGTACTTCCCAATTTATAGACCAACAAAAGGGTCTTGATGTACATCTCATAAAACATCCAAAAACATTCCATTTTCGAAATTTTTACGATTAAAAAACCTAGGAAACTTGTTTCAGGCGAGGGAAAACCGACATGCAATGGCTAAAGCCCTTTATTCACGTACGTTTGCGTGGTTGATAAACCACATAAACACTTGCACGAATCCAGGACAGGACTCGACCAGATTCTTGGGTGTCTTGGATATATTCGGATTTGAAAATTTTGCTGTCAATTCCTTCGAGCAGCTTTGCATCAACTACACCAATGAAAAACTCCACAAATTCTTCAATCACTATGTGTTTGCCTTGGAGCAGGAAATTGTAAGTACAAACATAAAAACTCATAAAGTATGTCTCAAATACAAAAAATTGGGGAACACGAATGCTGTTCTATTCGCGTGAAACTTTTTTATTTTGATTTGCTTTACTTATAAGCCAAATTTGAATAGCTGGCCTCTGTTCAAGTTCATTTTTTGTTATTATATAGGGTTGTCCAATAGGGACGCACGAAAGTAAACGTCAATTTGACATTGACGCCATCTTTGTTTTCTGTCACCGACATGTCATTTTGTTAGTTGAATGTTTACCATTGATCGCTATGGAGTAGTATTCGATTGAAGACCGCATTAAAGTTATTCAAGAGCACTACAAAAATGGTGCAAAAATAAAAAACACGTTTCGCGCGCTTCGTGAACATTTCGGTCGCATCAACCGCCCAAACGAAACAACCATCGGTCGTCTGGTGCGTAAATTCGAGGCGACAGGTTCTGTGGCAAATCTGCCAGGCTCTGGCCGGCCAAGGAGCGTTCGCACACCGGAAAATATTGCTGTGGTGAAGGAGAGTGAGAGACGATCCGAAACAATCAACAACGCGTCGATCCCAAGAATTGGGCATTTCGAGAACCAGTTTGCTCCGCATTCTCCACAAGGATTTGAATGTACACGCCTAAAAGATCCAATTGTCGCAAGACCTGCGTCGGGCCGACCATTTTTCGCGCCGAACGTTCTCAGATTGGCTCCTTGAACACCGCCAAATTGATGCCAATTTTTCATCAAAAATCATGTTCACCGACGAAGCGCATTTCACTTTGAATGGGACGGTAAACAAGCAAAACTGCCGCATCTGGGCGAACGAAAATCCCCGTCAGTATCAAGAGCAGCCGATGCATCCTCAAAAAGTGACTTGTGTGGTGTGCATTGTGGTCAAAAGGCATCATCGGACCTTACTTTTTCGAAAATGCGGCCGGGACGCCGTTACCGTCAATTCTGAGCGATATCACGTGATGATAGAGGACTATTTTTGCCGCAACTTGAAGGAATGGATACGGACGATGTTTATTTCCAACAAGACGGTGCAACATGCCACACAACCAACGTCAATATCCATCGATTGCAGTCCTTCGGTGATCGCGTGATTTCGAGCAGAGGAAATGTGCCATGGCCACCAACATCGTGCGATTTGACTCCCTTGGACTTCTTTTTATGGGGATATTTGAAAAGCAAAGTCTACGTCAACAAACCAGCCACCCTCCAAGAACTCAAGAACAACATCATTGCCGAGATAAATGCCATAGTGGTGAACATTTGAGCGATATTATTTTTCATACATAAATGGTATAACCGAACCTTCAAAATAAAGTACCCATCTTGATTTGAATATCAATCTTTCTTGTTTTAATATGCGTTTACTTTCCTGCGTCCGTTTTGCACAGCCCCATATGATTCTTATAATGAGCTTATAATACTATTTGATTTTTCAGTATACTCAGGAAGAGATTCAATACAACCACATAAGCTTTACGGATAACACTTTATGCCTGGAATTATTAGAAAAACCACCAAGATGTGTTCTAAGGTTGTTATCGGAACAATGTCATTTACCTAGAGGTTGTGATGCATCCTATATTTCTAACTTGCATACGGAATTTGAAATTCATGAAAGATATGTCAAAGGTAAGGATTAAGAACGGTCATCGAAATATCTATATCATCATCATAAGCTTCAAGGGCGGATCCAGGGGGTGGTCATGAAGAATCGAGATTCGACCAGCTGCCGCCATCCACCGCTGTTCGATGTTCAATCAAAACTTCTTATTGCAGGTGAAGATAGGCGTAAATGGGAAACAGAATTCGGCATCCGACACTACGCAGGTTGTGTAACATACAACGTAAAAGGATTCGTCGATAAAAACAGGGACGTCCAACAGGACGTATTTTTCGACATTGTCTCACGTAGTACGAATGAATTTGTTCAGGATCTGTACACCTTTCAAGACTTGACCAATACGGTACAACAACGAACTGGGACAAATGGTCTCAGTACCACTTCTAGGGGGACAAGTAAAGGAAAACCTACTGTATCGGATACGTTTAGGTAAGTGACAGACTGTCAGGGATCGTGGGACTCAAGTGACATAATTTTTCGTGACATCAAAAAACGTAATATCTCATTTTTGAAATTTTTCGCGATCATAATACTTCCTCTCCAATTGGCGTGGGAAGCAAAAGTAGATCTAATTTTACCATAGCTGACTGTAGCATTTTTAGCAATTTAGCAAAGTATTTCATATACAGTACTGACTATGCTACATGATTTTTATTGATATGTCGTGGTGATAAATATGAATTATAACCTTTTTGCAGGCATCAATTACAAGCTCTAGTCGATGTTCTTCAATCTTCAACGCCTTGGTATGTCAGATGCATAAAACCAAATAAAGATAAACTGCCAGATGACTATGATGATCAACTTGTACTAGATCAATTGAAATATTTAGGCATGTTGGATATCATTAGGTAGGTGTTACTATATTTAAATATTTTGGTTTTGGAGCAACAAAAAAATTTACATAACACGTCATGGGTCTATTTTGGTTTTGGAGCACCAAAAAAAATCTACATGACACGTAACATGTGTGTGTTTTTTAGGATTCGAAAGGAAGGTTTTCCCATACACATGAGCTTTAATGATTTTATCAGTCGCTACCACTGTCTTTCCAAAAATCGACTGCCACCAGATCCTACAAATGCCTGTTTAAGCCTAATCGAGAGCTTTAATGTACCGAAAACAGAATGGCAACTTGGAAAGTCAAAAGTTTTCATGAGGTAAGTACAGAAGAGTATTATGTTGTATACCATATGTGTATCAAATATCTACTTAAATCAAATGATAGTATTTGAATACTGTTTACCACTCTTTTAGTAATGGATACAAATATGGTCACAACCTTCGTTGATACTCATCACATTTTTTAATATTTCCTCTTTCATATTTCATATTAGTTTTGTACAGTGCAACATATTTTTGCAACATTTCAGATCTCATATCCAAGAGCCATTAGAAGAAGCTAGGAACAAGTTAGTGAAAGCAAAGGCAATAACAATACAAAAGATATTCAGAATGCATGTGGCAAAGAAAGAATACCAAAGAATTCGTAAGGCTGTGTTAAGAATACAACATGCATATAGAGGTAAGTTTTAATTCAAAAACAAGAACCATGTTAACTAATCTCTTTCTTTGCTACTACTATCTTCTCCTTTCTATGAGAATTAGTTTCTATAATCTATACATTTCAATAACCATGAATAACCTTGTAACCTCCATATTTTTATAATGATCATACCATACGGGTGATTATCTTCAACGCATCTCACATTATATTGCATTCCAAATGTAAGTTGTGCGAGCTTTATCCCTGAAACTTAGTCGACATATTTTTGCAGAACAAAGCTTGTCCACTAATTGCAAATCGAAATATTTAAAAAGCACTATCGGGATATATCATTTTGTCTTCCAACAAATTAATTTAAAATCTTACGGTTTTAAGAAGAATCAAATATTTGTCATTTGAATGCTTTGGCAGTAATGTCAATTTATTGTCGGCAAAGTTATAAACATAACATTTCTTACTGAAGCTATCTTAGTGAAGTTTTAATGAACCGCCATTTAATATTTGATTCCAGAAATCATCTCATTGTTTCAAGTTTCAAAAATGGCAAAATAGTCAGTGAACAGATACAGTTGGCATATTTCTTTTCTTTTGTGGTTATTTACCAACTTAGTGTATTATCTATATTCCACTGATGATCTTCTAATACCAAATGGACCAATTTGAAGCTGTTGGATTTCCGAGCAAGGAAATGAAGGGATAATCCACTTTATACAAAAATCTAAATACTGATTTCTCTAGTCACTTACACTTTGTTGCAGGCTGGAAGCTTAGAATAGAATTTTTGAGAAAACGAAGAGCGGCAATCGTCATTCAAAGCCACTTGCGAGGCGTGTTCGCAAGAGAAGTAGCTTCGGCATTAAGGGAGATGCGAAGAGTGGAAGAAGAAATGAAAAAGCGAGAAAAGTTGGAGGAAGAAAGAAGGGAGCGGGAAAGGGAAAAAGAAGCCAGGGAGCAAGAGGAGGCAGAAAAGAGGCTAGAAGAGAGCAAGACGAATGGTCCTGCGTCACCACCGCCTAAGATTGCCGAAGAAAAAGAAGATCTCGAAGAAAGCGAAAAGTGGGTCAATATTTTCGATTTTCGTTTATCATTGATTTAAATCAAATATGAAATGTAACGAGATTTTTTTTAGACTTGAGCGCTATTGTTATTCAATCTTGCTGGAGTCTTATTGGAGTTCCTAATATTTGCAACATTTTCAATAATTTGAATTGAAATTGAAGGTTCCATTTCTGTGCCTCAGAGCCAGGCTAGGTTAAGTCCAAATAAGTAGTTTTGAGATAATTATACAGGGTGACTTCGAAGTTGGGTCATTTATTTTAACAGTGAGTAGATCTGATCAAAAGAAATGCTTTTTTCCTTTAACATTTTTCTGGTAAAATTAAAGTAACAAAGTTATAGCCCTTTAGAAGTTTGAGTACCGCCCTGTCTCAATAATAATATTATGTGCTCGTGTTTGGCAACAACGGATATAATCCGCCTTATCGGTTCATCGCATCGGAAACAAAAAAGCGAAAGAATTTGAAACGCTTATCACGATGTTTTTACTACAATTTTATTCAGTTGTAATCAGTCAATGTGTAAGTCGGTAACGCGTGAGTGAATAGTGGTGTTTATTGCGTGGCTCAAACGAAATAAAAAATGGCACATGTTTACGAAAATGCTGAACTTGTGGACATGATTCTTATTTACAAAATGCTGCTGCGGCATCACGGATTTATGCGGATCGGTTTCCCAATCGAGTGCAATCAACCCCTCGTGCCTTTGTTAATGTAGTACAAAGGGCTCGTGAATCAGGTGACTTAAGACCTCACAGGGGAGGGCATGCCGGTGCTCCAAGACCGCAGGATCAAATACAGGTCCGCACTGAAATATTTGTCGGGAGGATACTTTATAAAACAAGGTAACATGTTTTTTATTTTTTTTTTTATTTTTACACACATATTTTGGTTTATCTTTCTTTTACAATCATTATCTGAAAATTAATGACACAACTTCAAATGAAATATTTTTCTAGCATTGTATTGAATACGACTTGATATGAGTTAAAAAGTCGTAACTTCCTTATTATTAAAGATAGATGGACGCTGCATGTAGCAAATGAAAATTCACAATATTATCATAAGCTTAACATATTAAACTCACTTTTGACAAAAATGGACTTAACCTTGTCTGGCTCTGGGGTACAGATTTGTAGAGTCCTAGTAACAGGTGACAATGGCGTAGATTTTTTACTTATCCGCCACAGAACTGCTGAGCTGATTCCATGGAATATTTATTTGAACTTTACTCCATATCTGAAAAATAGTGTAGATGGCAACTTGTCTATTTTCAGAGCCGCCGAACAAGAAATTGCTGCGCTTTCTCAAATGGCAGAGCAACTCAAACAGAGCCGTAGCGATTCAGCTGTAGAATCGGTGGACTTGGATAATCTATTCGCCTTCCTGTCGGATGTACAACCACAAAATCGCAATCAGATCATCGATGAGATTGGTGAAAAGATGAACGAATTAGTGGAAGATCTGGATGTTGAATTGGAGAGTGTAATTCAGCAAGAACTGGAAGGTAATTATATTTGTTTAACAAAATTTTCGTTAATTTTGAAACATTTATTTATCAGTGATTTCTTTCCAAGTAAAACTAAACTGCGTCAACAATTCTATAAAAAAAAATTCAGATTACCAACCGAGATAGACAAACGAAGAACATGCCGTAGAAAAATAGTCAGATTTTTAACCAGCGTGTAGAGGATATACAGTAATGAACAAAAGTATATATAGACAAATTAATATTGTGCTGTATTTCTTTTTAACTTGTTTTATTAATACACCAACTTGTATACATAATTCGTTATAGCATAATACTCACTTATACATAAATAAATTCATTAGACTCCCTTCAATAATAAATTAATCTTATCTTTGGACGAAATTACTTTAATTAATCTAACTGATCTAGCATTTAGTTTTCTAGGCCGACCACTTCTCTTAGAGGCTTCCAAGATACCTTTTTGTTTATATTTGTTCAATATTGCCCAAACTGCTTTACGCTTCAGCTTCAAATTTTTAGCAATGTCGACTTGACGTTGACCATCTTTGTATAACTCAATGATCTTAGTTTTCACATCGAAAGAAATTTCTGGACCACGCGGCATGGTCTTAAAGTCACTCAATTTATTCCACAATACTTGATGAACACAAACTAATCCTCTTCTGACGCGAAACTGTACTAAACTAATGTTGAAAAGAATTTGTCTACATATTTTTGTCCCTCATAAAAAAGTGCTTATATTCAGACTTTCATTGTGTTCATTGCAGATAATGTAAAAGCAAGGAATTTAGTTTTTCTACTAATAACGCATTTGTTTATGGAGTAATGAAGTATGAATTCGCTTTATAAAGGTATTTAGGTAAATATTCATATTTGTCTATATACTTTTGTCCATTACTGTAAATATCACGATATTTTCGAACCCTGTTTTTAACCACCAACCAAACAAATCGTGAAGTAAAACCAACGGAGGTATTTAGGAAATAACTCTAAACATTAATAGAAAAGCATGGACAGAAAAATTGAAGTGACAGTTACCCGTCGCCGGAATTATAGGTTCTGATATTGGATACCGACGGCGTAAATTGAAATTCAGGAGGTCTGTGAACTTAGCCCAGAAAATTCATGGCTGTTAAAAAAGGATGTGCCATACGATTTATCGTATTTCCACCAATTTTTTATCGTTTCTCCAGCACTGGCTTAAAAAAAATCTGGGCTAAGTTTACGTAGCTAACTTGACAGACCTAAATTTAGGTAGTTCATCCGAATGAATCCATTTTTTCTTAGGCCTAGCTCAAGACCAACTGACTACCCACCCGCTCCACCGACCGGTGACACCCAAACTCGCCGCCCCCACGCTTCCGGAACCTACCGGGCCTCCTCCACCACCCCCATCTGCCTTCCAAAATACCCCCGCAGAGTCTCCGGTGGCGGAAACTGCGAAGGAAGTGAAGAAGTCTGATAGGGATGAACCCATCTATGAAGCGGTGTTGCCTAGGGAGGACTCAGGCGTTGTGGCCGTTTCGCCGCCTCCATTGCCTACGCCGCCCAAGTTGGATGATGAGAAAGTCACTAGGAGGATCGTGAGGTCCGGCAGCAATGTTTCGGTAAGTGGAATAAATTATTTAATCCTCGTTTTCAGATTTGTAATCCGTATTTGTCATAATTTAAAACTGAATGTCCAATATCACACACATCCACATTCGGCTAGACCCTTCCAAAGAAGATTGGTACATACCATAACATCTTGATGAATGGTTAGTTATAAGATATCCATTGTGCAAAAACGCTGAACTCTTGTCAGTCTGCCGGTCCCCCATTTTGAAAGATAGTAGTTTATATTCTAAGGTTATAAGTACTAATGCATGAACCTTTTCTCCATGGTAAAAAAATGATCCGATTTTCAATTGTCACCTATACACTTGAATATAGTACCCCCTGGGTAACACATACCACGGTGTTGTGGAGGTTAGGTTTCGGTCAGAACCCGCTGTGGCAGCAGAAACTCTAACAGGCCGCAAAACTTGGCATTACGAACATGACGACTGGGAGGGGCTCAGAGACTTCTTCTCTAGCTTTCCTTGGAGAGGTCTGTTTCACTGACGCGGATGCGTTGGCTGTCTTTTCTTCGATAACCGAAATTATCCACGTGTGAAAGTGTTTAAACCAGGGTCCCACGGCTGGTTTAACAAATCGTGTGACACTGCTCGCCAGCAGAAGATCAAGGAAAGCAGAACCTTCCTACAAAACCCCACTGTAGAGAACAGACAAGCCGACGTCGAGTCCAGAAACAAATATAACGAAGCGGTTCGCAATGCCAAAAACCAGCACGAAACAAGAGTTAGGCACAGGGTAAATGTCGCAGCGCAATGGCAATCGGTCTTTCTGGACGGTGGCCAAGCAGATTGAAAAGAACTTCTCATACAGTAGTCTTCCACCACTTACGTGTCAGGATGGAACTATTGTATTCGACTCAAAGGCCAATGCGAAAGTGCTAGCCAAAAGCTTTGCTGCCAACTCCACCATGGACGTCCCCCTCAACGCCCAAGTGCCGTCAATTCAAAGGGTTCCCTATACTATGCGCGAGGTAACATACATCCTAACCGTGTCGAACTTCGTACATCCAGACTGGCCGATACAACCGCTCCTTTGTCCCGAGGGTGTCGAGATTGTGGAACAATCTACAAGAGGAAGCTTTTCCCAGTTCTACTAGCCTTAGGCAGTTCAAAAATCGTATTAACAAAATTTCTTTGGGATCATCATAGCAGCCGCGGTGTTCCGGCATTTAGGCTTCTGCCTGCGCGGCTGCTTCGATATAAAAAAAAACTGGGAAAAACGCATTCTTGTTCAAGTTCGATAAAATGAACCATTCTTGGAAGTGAGTCTTGTTTCAACACCCACTCTATGTCGATTTATACTACAACTGTTCCCCAAAAAGTTCGACAGATGTCCACAGTCTCTCGGATTCATAAAGAACACAAATAAGTGCAACCAGAGATATTATAAAACCCGCTTCCATGAAGAGATGCAGGACACCGTACGCCACTGGGAATCGATTTTCGATTTATTTAACTATTTTTCTAAAAGCGTAGTAACTAATGAGGACCTTACATAGGGGTGACCATAAAAGACAAATGACGTGTTTAATTTTTCAAAGACAAACTACGCCTAACGAAAATATGAAAAATGTACGCTTGTCCGGCATCGATATAAAATAGCCGTTCTAGAGGAAATCGTTCTTATTTCTGTTTATGCTGATGCAGAAAATACTAAACCACAAGGTACTACTAAAACTTAATTCCCAAACAGAGCTGCGTTTATGTTACTTGAGGGTTATAGGAACAGTACGCAACCAAAATCGTTTTTTTCAGCTTCAGTCACAGACATTTCAACACAGGTTGTAAAATAGCAGTATATGTTATTGGATGTTATTCCTTACTACATAATTGTTTTATATTAGCACCACTATGCAAGGTCGTTACGCCCTAAATGATCACTATGCTGTAAAAATTGTTGATTTAAAGAAAAACTGGGATATTACCCGCAAAATTTTAAAAATATTTCTTAGTCTAACAAAATATTTCATTTATTTCCTGTATGTCAACAGAATCCATCTTGGCGTTACTCCTACGAACAATCACAACAACAACCTATACAAAAACAGCAATCACAAAGTCAACAGGTACAGCCACAAGTAACGAATCAAAAACAACCTCAGCAGACGCCACAAATGAATGGACATGGACTTCAAGAAATACCAAACAACTCAGAAAGAGAACAGAGGTATGATCATGCACGACTAATAAATTATTATTATTATAAGCTGGGGCTGGAAAAAAATTCGAACGTATCTTTGAACTATATGAAACAACTAATATATGTTGGACTAAATCATTGGAATATTTATGTTATGTCTTTTGATTTATTTATTTTTATCTTATTTCAGGCGTAAATTCAGGGTTGAAAAGAAACTTCAAGAACTAAACGAAACCAACGAAAAGGAAGCAAATAATATAGACGAATCTCATCATGACTTGATCGAATTTGCCAACAAGTATTTCAATTCCCATGAAAGAAGCCCCGAAGGGACTATTATGGCAACGTTAACGAGAAAACGCCAGAGCTCAGAAATGATTCCGAAATACGAAATGGTCATTTACTATAAGGGCAATACGATACCAAACTCTCATATACACATGTACGATCCTGATAACGTGAATGTGGCTTGCAGCATATTTAGGGTAACATTAGTATTCACCGCATTTAAGATCGCATTTTCTCTATGTGGCAAACTAACATTTCCTATAAAATTACTATTTTCAGGACCTGAACAAGTATACTCGTGGCGAACTAAACGGGGACAGAGAATTGCAAGTAATCCAATCGATCGTAGGGTTTGCACTAGAGAGAGAAGAACTTAGGGATGAAGTTTTTGTGCAGTGTATGAGGCAAGCTACAAATAACCCCAGCACTGAGGCAACTGAAAGAGTTTGGTTGTTACTTTGCCTCTGCATCGTTTCATTTCAGCCGTCAAAGCTCCTTTATAAGTAAGTCTTACAGCATACAAATATTTCATCATCATAATTACACTCTACAAATCTCCAGAACGTTACTGATATTGTGTATTTAGTAACGTTATTTTTTTTCGATAGGTATTTCTTATCGTTTCTTAAGAAAAACCTGAGTCATTCAGGAAGGATAAGTCAATATGTGCAATGGTGTCTTGATAATTGCAACAATACCAAGGTGACGGTGAGAGAACATCCACCATCATCAGTTGAAGTGGCTGTAAGTGTTTTCCAATTAGAAAGCTAGTTTTCACTTCCCCAACCACGATATCTAAAAAACACCACACAATTCCTGACACTGTTCAAATCTCCCTTCTCCTGATGTGTCACCTGTAATGATGTAGTATACTCCATCCCATTTGTAGCATATAATGATGATATACTAAGTGACATAAAAATCCGAACACCCAGTTTAAATGGTTTTATTTTAATAAAATTTTGTATAAGTACTTAATGAAGCATAATAAGTAAATGATAAAAATTTCAAAATGATTGCACTGCTTTAAAGCCTTTTGACCTTTAATAATGTGTGGATGCACCCTGATGTGCTACGCATTCTCCAACGCGCCTAGGCATGCTTCTGATCAGGTGGTCAATGTCCTCCTGTGGTATCTCATTCCAGGCAACCACCAACTCCTCTCGAAGTGCTTCTAGAGTCTGAGAAGGACGTTGCAAATTGAGCAATCTCCTACCCATCATATCCCACACGTGCTCAATTGGGGATAAGTCGGGAGATCTTGGTGGCCATGGTAACAATATGACATCATTATGTTGAAAGAAGTCTATTGTGACTCTTGCAACATGTGGTCGGGCATTATCTTGTTGGAAAGTTGGACCTGCCAGGGTGTCAAGATAGGGTAAAAGATGGGGTTCTAGAATTTCGTGGATATAACGCTGCGCATTCATGTTAGCTCTGATGAAGATTAAAGGTGACCTGGAACCATAAGCTATAGCACCCCAAACCATAACTCCAACAGTGTGATGAACATGTCTTTCAACAAAAAACTGTGGATTCCTCCTTTCACCACGTCGCCTTCTAACCCTGGCACGACCATCGTGCATGCCTAAACAAAATCGAGACTCGTCACTAAAGACAATACTGTTCCATTCCTGATCCCACAGTGACCGTTGTCTGCACCACTCAAGGCGATTACGTCGGTGTTCTCGAGTTAAAGGGAGGACCCAGCGTGGCCGGTATGAAAACAAGCCAAAACTTCTCATTCGTCGGTAAACACTTTGCATGCCAATAGGTCTTCCGTGTTCTGCAAACCATTCATTTGCAATGGACCTGGTAGTGGAGAAACGGTCCCTTAAGGCCAATAATCTTAGGCGGCGATCTTCACGGTCTGTTGTTCTACGGCGGCGTCCAGTGCCCCTTGCTCTTTGCGTACGGCCTTCTCGAAGCCATGCCTAACAACACTCTAACTGCAATTGCCCGAAAAGAAAGTCCAGCTTCCCGAAGTCCCACTATACGGCCCCTATCAAACTCACTAAGTTGACGAAATCGTACAGGTCTCTGTACTCTAGGCATTGTAACCGATCGTAAAGGATGTCAAGAACCAAAATCCGCCAACGTTGATTGTTTACTGCGGCTGAAATATTCATTTTTAGAGCGTTAGTGAATTAAAAAAAAACAGTATAAAAACCGGAATGTCCAACTGATAAGGCTGAAAATTTTTTCACTTGTTATTTACAGTAAGATAAATACATTCACCAACTTTTATTAAAATAAAACCATTTAAACTGGGTGTTCGGATTTATATGTCACTTAGTATATTTTACCATTTAGCATTGTCGTTGTGTGTAGTACAAAACTCAAAAAATCCTCTTTCAGCCCTGCCTTAATTTTTCCATTCCCTATACACTCTTACAAATTTATAATGATGCGACAATGCTTTATCTTTATGTTTGTATGTTTTTAGGCGATGAAACGGTTAGGTACAATTGTCTGTCGGTTCTTCTTTCTGGATGGTAGAACAAAAGCTATTGACGTTCACCCTACTGACACTGCAGGTGATGCTGCTAGGAAGTTAGCAGAACGCTTGGGTCTTAGAAACATCGAAGGCTGGGCAATATATCAGAGCAGACCTGATGGCGAAGAGCATGTTAGAGCCCATCACTATTTGTATGATGTCATCGCGCAATGGGAGCTGTAAGTTTGGTTTTATTTCATTTTTAAAATGTTACTGTGAAGTTCATGTATGTTTATGTGTACGGTGAGGTTCACATTTGGCTGACGTCGTAATCTGTACGAGAGAGAAGCGCCAGAAGCGTGCAGTGTGTATGTTAGAAAGGTTGCGCCGATGATATCCGTGACCTCGTACTCGGATTGCTAGGCAACGAGGTGCTTCTATCTCTTTCTAACACACGTATCTCGCGCTTCTCTCTCGTACACATTGCGACGTTAGTGGTATTTAGTTTTCAGTATGTATTAATCAATAAAATTACTTGCTCACACTAATAATCCTAGCTTCCTAGCTAAAGATTTGAGAAGTAGCATAAAGAATCTTCAAGAGATCAAATGGCCTTTTGTTTTTAAAATAACCTTATCCATGCCATATAGTAAACGCATTTTATATTATTATTATTTTAATTGTCTTTTAGAGATCAACTTTCAGCAGGTCAACGCCTCTTACGTTTACCAAACACAAAAATTTTATCAGTTAGCTATTTTGCTTGTTATAAATGGTTACATATTTTTGAACAAGAAATGTCTTGACCATTATTTATAAATTTGTAAAATTGACTTCATACTAATACGTTTTTTTAGAAGTCAAAATAAATCAACCCCCCCTACAGGCCTAGCAACATTAGGTAGAAAAAGTGGGCAACCCAATTGTGCTGGCGAAAATAGGTTTATATTCAAACGAAGGTTGTTTAAATCTAGTCGAGAACTAAGTCAAGATCCGGTTGAAGTCAACTTAATGTATGCTCAAGCTGTCCACGGTGTCGTAAAGGTATGCTTAAAAATAATAATTTTGAGTTATTAGGAGTCCAATATTCTCTTTTCATTTGTTTTATTTTTTTGTGTGAGGCTTACTTAAAACATTGTTTTAGTCTGATGATTTCCCTGTGACAGAAAAAGTGGCGTTACAGTTAGCTGGACTTCAGGCACAAGTAGCTTTAGGCAATCCCAAAGATAATAGCAAACTGGAATATTATACTGACATTGACACATATCTTCCATATAGAATAAGTCGAACGAGGACAGATGAGCAGTGGGTGAGTTACCGACATTTTGTAAATTTTTGTAAAAAAGTACATTCATATCTTCAAATGTAAACATACATTTTACACTTAATATGCGTCATTGTATATGCTTATAATCCTTCCTATTTAGGGTGTTGTTTGAACTTTTCCTGCTGAAGAACAGCATTAGGTTCTAAGTCGAAAATGTATACTCTCCAAATATCTATTAGAGACTATCGTACGATCCTAACCATCTAGTACAATCATAAAATTTCAACGTTCTCAAGAATAAGTAGTTGCTTGCTATAGCCATGATAGTCATACGAATGAACGTCTTCTGATTTCAGGTGCCTATAATAGCCCAAGCTCACCGCCAATATGGTGCAAATCGAACAGAATTGACAGCAAAAGCACTTTATCTTTCGTGTGTAATGCAGTACCCATTATATGGAACCACTATGTATCCAGTGATGTACAGAGGATATTGGTCATATGGAAATGCTTTAACCTTAGGCATAAACTGTGATGGCATCATGCTTATAAAGAATGATGATAAATTTGTTCTAAATGAATTTAGATACCATGAGGTGAGTGCACTTACCCCCCCCCCCTGTTTACTAATCATCAAAAAGCAATATTTTGAATAACCCGATACTTTTCGTTTGCTATAAATTTTCATATATTTTTTTTTTCAGATTGAAAGTATTTTATTGGATCCGAGTGACAGTTTCATCACTATAACGTTACAGCGTCATCTGACGGACAATGGTCACAAATGTTACGTGTTTGAGACGACTCAGAAAAATGAAATTGGGTCACTGATAGCTAGTTATTGTCCGTCATTGGCGGCTTGGATGACAGAAAGTGAACCAATTCCTAAGAGATCAAAAGGTGAGTTAGATGTAGAACACAAATATTGCGAAAAGTATCTCTGTATTGGTTGTTAGGAAAATGCTAGCTCATTATCTCCAGGAGCGAGGGGAGGAGTGAGAAATCACACTTCACATTGACAAATTGAACGCTCTGAAATGTGAGGCGGCTTGCAGTATGTTGTATTGTTGGACCTTTTTGGGAGTTAAGTGGCAGAAGAGCAGTCTTCGCCCCTAATAAAGACGATTATTTTTATTATTATATTATGTACTAGATTTGAATGCTCAAAATTGTATTAAAAACCCTAGGACGATTCACATTCCTTACGAGCAATGGGTTTTGGCAGGTTTTCTCGGAAGTTAATGGAAAGTCTTCCCTTTGCAATCCAAAGCATCAATGGGCACAAACCACGAAAAACTAATCTTCAAGAGTTTCAATGACTCTGAGGTGTATGTACATTTTTAAGGGGAAACAGAAAATTGAGGTAGGGTAGATTAGATGTGTAGAGTATGCACAGTGGATTCAGTTGCTCGCGAGTAATAAACTAGCCCGGTTTTAACCTCTTTGACATAAAGTCATTATTTGCTTGTCTTGTACGTCAGGAAAGGGTAGTAGATAGGTAAGACATGACTGCATATTTGACTGGTAAATATCTATTACAAATGCGCGACTTATATACTAACCTTTTTTAACATATAATCATGATAAAACTGTTAAAGCCGAGCTGGTATCACGTTAAGAAGTGCATCTACCAAATTCAATTTTTTATTTCTCTGCGGCAAAAATGTACACCTTTAAGGCTTGATGACTCTTGAAGATTAATCTTTCGATGTTTGTGATCATTGACACCTTTGATCAACATGATAATCATTTTCCAATTTGCTCAAGAAATGATGTACGTTGTGTATCAAATGATCCCGTTATGTTTTAGCTATCACAAACGAAGACCGAATCCGCCTGTATCACAACCTAGTAAACTGCCGGCGGACTCTAATCGACAACGACATCCTACGCAAACCGACCGACTCATCCAGCGGGTTCTTGCGCAACACCTTGAGAAGACTGAGCAAGCACAAGTTGGACAAACTGAGACAAGAGCATGGAGGTGACAGCGGGGAAACCTACAAAGGCTTCCATTACGCCTTTTGGGCGTTTAGTAGAAACCCGTTGCCGCAGAGTATCAGCAAATTGCCGGAGCAGGACGAACAAGTCATGTTGCAGGTGTTCCAGATCGTACTGACGTATGCTGGACTTGGACAAAATGGTGAGAGATTTATATGCGACTTTTGTTTCAGAGATAAAATATCAAAATAAGTGGAGGATATCGTTCAAATGGAGGCAGATAGACTCTACACTTATCACAATTATCACGTATATCTACATACAAATTATAAATACTTGACACACAAATGCTATTTGAGATTTATCTTAGTCAAAAAAGAAGCTTTGCCATATTTCAAAATAGCTACCCACAATTTTTTTGACACCCTCATGCGACCAAAAAATTAGAAACCCCTAAAAACAAATATTAGAAATTGTTCAATCACGACTTTCAAAATTTTGAAAAATTAATCATCTAGTAAGAAGGTTTATTTACTTGAGTGGTATATACGAGTAGATTTAATCGCAGATTATAATTAGGTAGGACTAATATTATTATTATTATTATTATTATTATTATTATTATTATTATTATTATTATTATTATTATTATTATTGTTATTATTATTATATCGTAAACCTGTACATCACAAACAATAGAATCATATATCTGTTTCAAGGACAAATGTATGAAAATGTCTATTATGCCTAACAAATACGTCGGATTACCAGGTTCAGAAGAATAATTTTATAAATGGAAAATGAGAATTTCTGAAAATGCAAAAGTCTCAAACGTTGAAAAAACAAAACTTGAATTACTTTTATTTTTTGTTTTTTCTTTGCCCGTAGCTCCACTACCACTAGATTAATTTACAAACCCAACACAAAATGTCTTGTGTCAAAATCTCGTCAAAATACGAGCCGTACTTCCAGAATTCTAGAGTTGTTTCGCGTATGGACCGACGGAAATGAGTGACATGGTTTTTCATGTTGTGCATGTCATGTAGTATCTAAAAAAACAATATCTCATTTTCGAAATTTTTAGGCATTACCTTACAATTAACCGTATATCCGATTTGGACCTAGCACAACAAGATTTTTTTAAAAATTACCAATGTTAAACCACAAAATAAAATCAGATAGTGTAAATAAGCAAATTGAAAAGCGCTGTCGATTGCAATTTTTCGCGGCGAATAACATCTATAAAACTACTACTTACACTTATATTTGAAAATTAGATTCCTCGAATGACAAAGATTTTACGGACGAACCCATATGCTGACAGAGTGAGGAGAAGTCTAAATCTTCATTTCTAATTCTAAATTGCCTTTATATTTCAGGTGAAACAGTGAGACGGGTAGAAGACGAACACGTAACACTCCTCCAAACAATCCTGGAACGATCAATGCGTAAGGACTCCTACCTGTGTGAACTGTACCTGATGTTGATCAAGCAGACCACTGACCACCCTGATCCTAACTCTAGAGTAAATCTGAGGCACTGGGCGCTATTATCACTAGCTTGTTCAGTAGTATTACCACCTAACAAGGCTATAAGAAGATACTTGATCGCACATTTGAGAAGGTGTAGTTCGGATTTCGTTAGTGAAGAAGGTACATAACATGATTGACTCTTATCTATTCTATATATCGAATATATGTCAGTTACAGATGGAAGTATTAAAACTTAGACTAGCATTTAATATCTGAGGTAACCGTTAAGGTTATTATGGTGAAATCAATCCGCCATATTGACCATAATATATTTACAAACATTCACTGGGAAACAGTACACTTTAATCTTTGTAAGCTGTATGTGTAAATCACATAAAATTGCGTAAACGTATCAGAAGTAATGTCCAATGTTAGTTGTCGTTTGAGTTAAATATGCTGTTCAAAAGATATTTTATTTAATTATGTAAGATTTATATTCAGGTTAATTTAACAACAAGCAGATATTTGTTAGAATACATTGTCTTTTGATGACTAATTTGTTTTTTATTTGTTGAAATTTGCATCATAATTCGTAATATACATATTTTTAGATTTTTACGTTTCTCGAATAAATTTAACTAAATAAATGGTAGATCCCTATTGGAGATACTTATGAATAAATCAATCCCGCTCTTGATCAATGAACAAATTAATAAGCCCAATCTAAGCTGTTGAGCGGATGTCACAACACAACACTTTTTTCAGGCAAGTACGCCAGGTTTGCCGAAAAATGCCTATCAAAAACACAAGGCACTCGAAGGAGACAGTGGCCACCATCCAGAGAGGAAATCCTCTGCACCATTAACAGGCGACCAGTCTATGCTAGATTCCACTTCATGGATGGTCAGTACCATTCCGTGGAGTTCCATCCGTCTTCCACGGCAAAAGATGTGCTCGAAATCGTCAGGGATAAAATAGGGCTCAGTCAGGATGCTAAAGGATATGCCATCTACGAAGTTCTAGGAAATTCCGAACGATCCCTTGCTGCTGAAGAGAAAGTCACGGACGTTATGGCTAAATGGGAACGTTACAGGTAATAATGTACTTAACTCTCTACAGAATCTCAAAAGTTTGTGTTGGAGGATTACATGTTACGCTTACTGTCTATATTGTTTTAAAAATGATTTCGATAAAATCAACATCACAGAGGGAAGATTGAAACAACAAAAACGTTCACTCTATTGGAAGGTACCCCTGCCTATTCTTACTAGCATAAAATTGGAAAAATCCCCAGACCACGAACACAAAATGACCATTCAACATTTTGGGCACAAATGCCGGAATATCGAAATCTTTTATTATACAGATATTTTAAATTTACTTATTGTGCTGGAATTTTTTGCTCTCCAAGTCTGATATTTCAAACGGAATATTGCACCGCATTTGTAAGTCTTTGTAATCTCAATCACCATACTTATCAAATATTTGCAGGGCCGCCTCAGCAGCAAATGCTACAAATACTACAGGCACTGCAAAAAGGGCAAGACCTCAGCATCACTTCTTCCTCTTCAAGAAACATCTTTTCATGGACAACTTCATCAATTTATCTGATCCAGTAGAGAAGGAACTGTTGTACCATCAAGTTTTATACGATCTCAGGACGGACAGATTCCCAGTTACTGACAAAGAAGCGGTAAGTGTTTGATATATCGTTCAATACATCTTTAAAAGTTTGTGGTAAATCTTTCACATTATGAGCAATTAGCCATGTTTAAAGTTGAAGAAATCAATGAAGTCCCTAAGCTATCGTATACGCGTAAAAAATACTTTCAAAAAACCTGAAGGTAAACTAATCACGAATATCGTAATGCTATTCTGGAATGACTATTGACAGTGACTCATCATAAGATACGATTGCTTTATTGCAAAACTAGTCATGTCTAGTTTTTACGAACAAAAAATGAGATATTGCTCAAGCAAACAAATTATCATCTTGCAGAAATATTCTGTAAATAAGAATGTTCCTCAGTAGAACCTATTAACAGGACTCCATTGTCTGGCCGAGTCAAACCACGTGGAATCCTATGAACATGAAAACCACATAATAAGTTCTTAAACTTACTAACTTTCCTTGAGGCACAGTCGTTCTGTCAGGCTCAACTATCGCTATATAATTTACGTTCTGCCCCTCTCCCTTGGTATTGTTGTAATATAAATGGGTTCCCAATCCTATGTCTTTGCTGATTTCTTTTCATTCATAGGAAGGTGAGCAATTTTTACTTTCGCCAAAAAACACCGTAGCATAGATTTTACAGACAGTTTTTCACACTGAGCCCCTCAGGCACTTTGCGCCCAGCTGAGGGAGTGTTTGAGACAAATGTTCATGCGACGTAAGCCTCTGTTTTACAACTTGACAGTTTTTTTTTCTGAAAAGGGTTAGGCAGGATAGTTCTGACGTAATGTTCCGACACAAACAATGTCGAAAGTACATCATAGTTCTCTTCTACGGATTTAGAGCTTGGAACTCTTTTGAAATGGTTTGGAGCCTCAAAACGGGCAAGATTTTTGTTTAAATATTTGGCTATAACTATGGCAACTATAATAGCCCAGCCACCATGAACATATTGCACAGCTATATATCTCGGCTATATCTTGGCAATATTGCATGCAATTAAGAGAGACATACACTTTGCAGAATTTCTCATTAGAAGAGCTAGAAAATCAGGCAAGAATTACTGACGAAATGGTACGCGTCTCAATGCCTCTCATTACTTACATTAGATTAAGGAGGAGGAGGAGAAGGAATCTTAAAGTATGGGCCCCTACTTCAAAATGTAATCCAATTCACCATTTAATAAACATCGTTGACATGATAAGCAACCAAAACGAATACCCCCTAAAATACTTTGGGATTTTGTTAATGGTTGTTTGAAGGATATTTAGAAACATTGGGAACATTATAATTTTCATAATGTTTTCCGGGGTCGAAAATAGCACCTTTTGCACTTTTCCAAATATGAAATCGTTTATTTTTCGAACATAAACTTTAGAGGGAACACCATACTCGTTCATAATGGTCCAAAAAACCTAAAAAAACGACAGAAGCGGAAAAAAACAATATTTGGAGTGTGTTTAAAAAAATTGTTTGGGCAATTTTTGACGCAATTTTGGGCCTGGCTACGTGCAGATTCGTTAAAAGCTGCTGTATCGCGGCTGAACAATGCGGTGAAATATTGTCCGTTTAGAGGCTCTATTTGAACGTAAAAACATTTAAAATCGAGATAATATTTTGCTCTTTAGACATGTAACATAGAGATCCTATAAAATTACATTTATACACCAAAGCTACTTCTGCCTCAATATACATAAGGTAAATTCACCTAATAACGACCCATTAAAAAGTCGATCCTATTACTGACCACTTTGCCATCATCTAATTTACAACAAAATTATTTGATCAAATCAAGATCTACTCAAATTTCCCGCCTTGCTTTAGACGCCTGATACATGTAAAAGCGTTCCTGCGCAGTAACAATTACATACAGTAATACCCCGGACTTACGCGATAGGTGGGTCCGAACGGTTGCCGTGTAAGTCGAATTCGCGTAAGTCGGGGTTCAATGTTGCATATAAATACATATAAAGTTTGTTTAATCGGGACCAGAGTTTAAAGAAAACAATAATTTAGAAGAAAAATGTTTAATAAAGTGTAGGATAATAAAAAAAATTACATTGTTATGAATAAAGTAAGCTAAACCGAAGTTATTTTGATGTCGAAGGCTTTATATATTCTAACAATGTTGCCTGACGAGTTAAATTTTTCTTCTTTTCACGTAAAATTTCCTCGTAGCATACCAGTAATTTTTTTATCCCTCGTTTTGTAGTAGACACGCGTTCTTCATTAGAATCAATTTTTTCTAAAATTTGTAACCCCTTTTCAATTGAATTGAGTCCTTCTGTTAAGTTTGCAATTGTCATTTGATTTACCGATTCAACTGGGTCTAGCGAATCAGTTTGTTCAATGTCTTGCTCATACTTACGCATTTCTATAACCTCGTCAATTGTTAGCTCTTGATTGTGTGAATCTAGCAATTCTTGAACGTCATCATTATCGACCTCTAAATTTAATTGCTTGGCGATATCGACCACTTCTTCTATTATGCTATCGATTTGTTCAGGATCTGAAATGGTTTCTCCTTGAGTTTCAGAGGTGAAAAAAAATGGACACAGTTTTTTCCAGACACCATTGAGAGTTTTTTGTGAAACCTCATTCCAAGATTGTCCAATAATTCTTACAGCATCTAAAACATTGAATTGCTTCCAAAAGTCTTTAACAGAAAGCTCATTGTTTTGTCTCATAGCTTCATGTAGATGTGCAAATGACCGCCTTGTGTAGTAAGCTTTAAATGTTTTAATGACTCCCTGGTCCATTGGTTGAAGCAAGCTGGTAGTGTTTGGTGGCAAAAATACAACTTCCACACGTGGATCGAAATTAATTAGAGTTGCGGGAGGATGACCTGGTGCATTGTCAATTAGTAGCATCACTTTAAATGGGATTTCTTTTAATCGGCAGTAACGTTCGACTTCAGGAATAAAATGATGGCCAAACCAGTCTTCAAAAAGAGAAGCTGTCACCCAAGCTTTCGCATTAGACTTCCAAATGACAGGCAAACCAGCTTTGGATTTATTTTTTAAGGCCCTTGGATTTTCTGAGCGATAAACTAAGAGAGGTTTTAATTTACAATCTCCAGCTGCATTCGCACCAACCATCACTGTTAATCGATCCTTGGCGGCTTTAAAACCTGGAAAAGTTTTCTCTTCACGCGCAATAAAAGTTCTTTTAGGCATTTTCTTCCAAAAAAGACCTGTTTCATCTACGTTGAAAATAGTTTGGCTAGTGTAGCCACCTTCATCTATCATTGTTTTGAGTTTTTCTGGATAGAGAGATGCAGCTTCTTTATCAGCGCTTGCCGCTTCTCCACTCTCTGCGATGCTATGCCAATTACAACGACTCTTAAATCGGCTGAACCAGCCGTTACTAGCTTTAAACACTTCATTTTCAGCCGCCTCCCCAGCTTCTTCTTTTAGTTTTTCAAAAATCTGCTTTGCTTGAAAGCACACTGTATTTTGATCAACAGGACAATTTTTCACTCTTACTTGATTATCACACCATGACTGTAGCAATGTTTCCATCTGTGCGATAATACCGTGACGCTTACGGATGATACTTGAATTCAAAGATTGAGAGTCTTTCACAGCGTTCATAATTTTTTCTTTACCTTTTACAACCGTTCGGACTGTTGATTCCGGAAGGTCAAATTTCTTCGCCAATTCACAAATTTTCATTTTTGCTTCAAAGTCTTTAATTATATTCAGTTTACACTCCAAAGACAGTGTTTTTCTTTTCTTGTTAGGCTCAAATGACTCATTTTTGTTCTTTTAGACGACATAATTAGAGATTATAAGTAAAACGCACTGCGCACGTAAAACAATTGCACGCGAAACACGTTTAAACCTGATGCAAATTGAACACTGAGTGGGCGGAGCGAGAGAGCCGATGCGCGCGCGGAGCGAGAGAGCCGATGCGCGCGCGGAGCGAGAGAGCCGATGCGCGCGCGGAGCGAGAGAGCCGATGCGCGCTGCGCGCGGCAATCAAAATGAAAAACCGCGTATCTCCGAATTCGCGTAAAACGGGGTAGCGTAAGTCGGGGTATTACTGTATTCAAATCAGATCTGTCAAAAAACCGTTGGTTAGTCGACGACCTTCGTTTGGTCGAGTGTTTGGTGTTGCAAAAGACTGTTATGGTAAGTATCAATGAGTTAATTATTAAGCTTTTTAAAATAAAAATATTTACATTTATGCAAGTATTCAAGTGAAATATTGTGCTCATATTCATTTTTTCTCAAAAAAATATATTACTACTTAAAAAAATTGGACCAAATTTATGAAAACTGCTTAAAATCAATAGGGCGGCCATAGGGTAACATATTTTCATATTTTCCTATTACCGCCTTATATATCGCTATTACGATTATTCTTCGCATTTAATAAGGAGACATTTTTGGAATAAATATTACTTTCTTAATCTTCAAATTAACTTGTTTTGTACTTAACATGGCGAAGTATCTTATTTTCTATTTCCGACCTATATAATATTTCTTCTTCTTCTTAATATTTAAAGTAGAATTCAGTCTTGCTTATATCCATATTATTCTAAATAATGCTACCTGGATTTTGAATGCAAAACTGTCTTTTTGTAGAAATTAGGAAAAGATTTAGTTAATTTTTACATTTGCGCAAATTGGGTAAGATGTTTACAATAAATTGTACCCTAGAAATATATCCTATAGTAGTTAATATCACGTGTAATTAGAGAAAATGATTGAAAGAAATAGCGCGGTAATAAGATAAAAATATTTTCTTTCCTCCCCATTGCCGACTTTAGATCCTTGTTAGGGAATTTTTAGAATGTCTTTTTAGGCATATTTTCAGAAACATGTATGATTTATTATCATAAAAACCAATTCTTTAGGGAGATTGCTATTTAAAAAATCTTATTTTCTATTTCCGACCTATGAATTTATTGTTCTAGATCTTAATATTTTAATTCAGTTACTTCGCTTGCATTACTATTTTACATAAATTAGAAAAATACTTTCTGAGTAAATTAACTTTTTCAAATAAAACAGTGCTCAAGAAAGAGATTAACTTGACTCGGGCTCAACAGAAAAAGTGTGTACTTAATTTTTTTGTTTATTTCATCAGACTGGCAAAAGAAAAAGTGGTAAAGATTTATAATTTAATATCGTGCTATTGGGTCAGTAATAGGTTTATAGGTCTATACATTTTACCAATTACCGTCCTTTTTGTTTCAGAAATATGCCTGCAGAAATGCGGGTTAAATATACAAAAGATCAGCTATCTCGAGCTCTTGAAGCCATAAATAATGGAATGTCTGTCTATAAAGCATCCCAAACTTTTAACGTGCCGAAAACAACTCTTAGAGATAAACGTGATGGAAAGTACAAAAATTAAAAGTGTGGAGTTCAGCCGGTTCTTTCTAGAGACGAAGAAAGAACAATTGTTGAATGGATTGTCCATCTAGCAGCTCTAGGTTTTCCAGTCACGAAGTCACAGTTACTAGAAAGCGTTTCAAACCTGGTGAAAAATTTACAACGTCCAAATCCATTTAAGGATGGTAAGCCTGGAAACCACTGGTTTCAAAAGTTTATGGACTGTCATCCTGAAATTTCCAAACGTGTATCGCAAAACCTTACTACAAGTAGAAGTGCAGTTACTGAATTGGCTATTAAAAACTGGTTCAGAAAAGTCGAAGAATATTTTAGAAGCCAAAATATTATGGATATTCTTGAGGATGGCTCCAGAGTTTTTAACTGTGATGAGTCGGCTTTCTTTTTGTGTCCAAAAGAAAAGCAAGTTCTCGTTAGAACAGGAACCAAGCTTGTTTATAACCGGGTAGCAAACGATGAAAAAGAATGTCTAACTGTTCTTGCAAATGTGTCTGCTGATGGCTCACCAGCTCCTCCTATGGTAATATTCCCCTACAAAAGATTACCAAAATATATACCGTACACTGTTCCTAAGGGCTGGGGCTTAGGCTATACAGAGAGTGGCTGGATGAATTCAGAGGCTTTCTATGAATACGTTGCAAATGTTTTTTACCCCTGGCTGCAAAATCGTGACACTAAGTTTCCAGTGGCTTTATTTCTTGATGGTCATACCTCCCACATATCTTTAGCCTTAAGTGAATTTTGTAAGGAGAAGGGGATAGTATTAGTCGCACTTTTGCCTAATTCTACCCACATTTTACAGCCATTAGATGTGGCCGTTTTTAGACCAGTTAAAGCCACGTGGCGAAATGTGGTTCATGATTTTAGATTTAAAAACGAAGGGGCAAAAATCAGAAGAAGCGATTTTTCAAATTTGGTTAAAGCATGTTTTGAAAAATGTCTTAAACAAGAAACTATAAAGAAGGGATTTGAATGCTGTGGCCTTTTCCCCTTTAACCCCGAAAGTATTAATTACAGTAAGCTCATGAAAAAATATATACAAGAGCAGCAAGAATCAGTTTGTAATAATGCACAGGATCAAAATGTAACAGGTCAGACAGATCATCATTTTAAAGAACAGCTGGAGGCTCGGCTACCTCTAGCAACACTAGAATTGTTCAAGTCTTCGGGCGATACATGGAATGGAGATCTCACCTATGAAAAACTATTCGTTTTCTGGAAGTCTCTTCAGGATAAACCAAGTGCAGAAACGGATATGATTTTAGATGACACCACAATCATAAATAATATTACCGAAAATATCAACGACTTTGACGAAAATGCCTGGGATACAATCGACTTAGAAATTCAAGGAGACGGCAACCTTTCAATATGCAATATTAAATATACTGAAAATGGCAGTTTACCAGGACCATCGGTTAACGAAGGCACTAAAAATAGTAATGCACTTAGAACAATAGAAAAAAACTATAATACCCCGGATACATCACCCGTGAAAATCTTACCTCACGATATTTTAATTGAAGAACACGCTAGTGAAAACGACACAAACTTAGATGTTGTGGCCACAACCGAAAAACCGAAAGAAAACCCCATGCTGCCAGTAGGTGAATCCGCAGAAGAACTTATGTGCTTTAAAGTATCAACGCCGTTTAAAAACGCTTTTTACTTCCCTAAGAAAGTTGAAGATTCGGCAAAGAAAAGAGCTACGAGAAAAATTACGCCAGTAGTAGCAATTTCAGATGAATTCATGGAGTATCAGAGAAGAATCGAGGCGGAAAAAGAAAAGAAGCAACATGAGAAAGAACAAAGAAAAATTAAAAAAGTAACAAATCAATTGCTGAAGAAAAGAAAATTAAATCCTGAAGATAATTCTGAAAAAAACGTGGAAAAGAAAACAAGTAATTACAAAATTGGAGACTATGTAATAACAATATACGAAGGAGAACTCTTTCCAGGAGTTGTTTGTGGTTATGATGAGAATGGTATAATGGCGGGAATAACTGTAACATCAATGGAAATGAGTGGACCAAACTGGAAGTGGCCAGAAAAAGATGATATATTGACCTACGATATCAAAGATATTATATGTAAAATTGAACCGCCTGAATTAATAAACAGCAGGGGCATTTATAACATTCCAAAGATGGAAGAATTTAAAAAAAAAGTCAACCTAGTTTTTCATAGATGTAGTCATGTTTTTGTATTTCAAGTAACTATTGTTGTGCTTATTTAGTAACTATTTATTTCACCCAAGTTAGTAAACTTACTTACCCATTTAAATACCTACTTGTTTTATTTCCATAAGCGGTAATAGGTGACAAAAAGTCGGTAATAGGAATAGAAATAGCAGTATAGGGCGCTAATGGGATATATCCACATTTTTTTATTTAATCATTTTTTTTCAAAACAAGCTTATGGTAATAAACCGCTAACTCGATTTTTTTGTTTCCAATAAAATACTATATAGCACAGAGTCTTCACAATACCCATAAAATAAATACAACTCTAAATAATAATACCTAAACTTTGTTAAGTCTTAAGTAGGGCGGTAATAGGTGAATTTACCTTATTGATATCAATTTTAGTGATTGTTCGACCATCACCTTAAGCAGATTAAATACTACTCTTGATCTGTTTATCTATGTATTTACATTTTAATTGTTATGTAATATTACTGAAAACATTGAATATCCTTAACTTTCTTTTATATAGATGATGTTGACTGCCCTCCAAGCCCAACTAGAAGTGGGCGATTTTGATGGAAACCTATTGGACTATCGACCTATAGCCGCACATTGTCTATCAGCGAGAATGGTGCCGGCAGTTTCTTTCGAAGGGGTTCAGATGCACCACCAGTCCATCAAGGGCATGACAGCTTCCGAGGCAAAACAAGCCTTCTTGAATCTCATACAGAGCTGGCCACTTCACAAGGCAACCATATTTGACGTTATGGTATGATATTTGTTGTTTGCTTAGTTGTTGTTTATTGCCATTATCTACCACGACCCTTCGACACATTCTGATGTTTATTTGAGTGAAACAACATCGAATCTGTTTACATTCAGTAGTTTATAAGGAATATTTTCACTAAATGTTAAATAGTATTTATTGAATTTTTGAGATGACTTGAAATGCAGTGATCATTAAAGCTACATGTTGATGTTGAAACATCGTGGAATATATAATATTAAGCTAGTAATACATTATGTAACTGCAAAGTTATGAACTCGTGATGAGTACAATTGTTCAAAAAATCTGTAAAGTAGATTTGGTTAGTACTTTTCACACTTCAAACACTAATCCAGGTTTTTGAGTATGGCTCTATTCATGCCAAATGGGTAATTTTCATTATAAAGATTTTTTGAAAATTTATAAATTTATAAAAGAATTCTCAAATTAAAACTGTCAAGTATAATCTTTATCAAAAGTTGTCACTAGTGAGAAGAAATGTTCCAAATTCAAGTGTTATTCATTTATCGATTACAATTTTGAAAAAAAAATAATTCACACTTAAAATCAAATGGTAATACATTAGAAAGAGTGCAAGATTGGCTTTAATTATCATGACTTAAATTTTTAGATAAAAATTAATATTGAAATATTTATAACAATTTATTCTTTTTCAGCAATCTTTCACATCTGGCTGGCCGAGAGTTTTGTGGTTAGCTGTGGACCAGAAAGGACTTCATCTCTTGGAACACAGATCTCGTAATACCTTATGTACATACGAATATCAAAACATCTTAAGCTACTCACCTGCGCTCAATTGCCTAATGATTATAACAGGTATGTTTTTATGTTTACACAATGATTCTTTTGATTTTTAGTAAAAATCTTGTAAAATCGCTGTCACTTCGTTTTTCGGCATTTCCGAAACTACTGGACGTTTTTTTGAACTTTCTTTTGCGAGGGGAAAATGTGCCCTTAAGACTTAATATGATATATCGTACATAAAGTATACTAAGTGACATATAAATCCGAACACCCAGTTTAAATGGTTTTATTTTAATAAAAGTTGGTGAATGTATTTATCTTACTGTAAATAACAAGTGAAAAAATTTTCAGCCTTATCAGTTGGACATTCCGGTTTTTATACTGCTTTTTTTTAATTCACTAACGCTCTAAAAATGAATATTTCAGCCGCAGTAAAGAATCAACGTTGGCGGATTTTGGTTCTTGACATCCTTTACGATCGGTTACGATGCCTAGAGTACGGAGACCTGTACGATTTCGTCAACTTAGTGAGTTTGCTAGGGGCCGTATAGTGGGACTTCGGGAAGCTGGACTTTCTTTTCGGGCAATTGCAGTTAGAGTGCAAAGAAGTGTAGACACTGTGGTTAGGTGTTGTCAGGCATGGCTTTGAGAAGGCCGTACGCAAAGAGCAAGGGGCACTGGACGCCGCCGTAGAACAACAGATCGTGAAGATCGCCGCCTAAGATTATTGGCCTTAAGGGACCGTTTGTCCACTACCAGGTTCATTGCAAATGAATGGTTTGCAGAACACGGAAGACCTATGCATGCGAAGTGTTTACCGACGAATGAGAAGTTTTGGCTTGTTTTCATACCGGCCACACTGGGTCCTCCCTTTAACTCGAGAACACCGACGTAATCGCCTTGAGTGGTGCAGACAACGGTCACTCTGGGATCAGGAATGGAACAGTATTGTCTTTAGTGACGAGTCTCGATTTTGTTTAGGCATGCACGATGGTCGTGCCAGGGTTAGAAGGCGACGTGGTGAAAGGAGGAATCCACAGTTTTTTGTTGAAAGACATGTTCATCACACTGTTGGAGTTATGGTTTGGGGTGCTATAGCTTACGGTTCCAGGTCACCTATAATCTTCATCAGAGGTAACATGAACGCGCAGCGTTATATCCACGAAGTTCTAGAACCACATCTTTTACCCTATCTTGACACCCTGGCAGATCCAACTTTCCAACAAGATAATGCCCGACCACATGTTGCAAGAGTCACAATAGACTTCTTTCAACATAATGATGTCACATTGTTACCATGGCCACCAAGATCTCCCGACTTATCCCCAATTGAGCATGTGTGGGATATGATGACTGCTCAATTTGCAACGTCCTCCTCAGACTCTAGAAGCACTTCGAGAGGAGTTGGTGGTTGCCTGGAATGAGATACCACAGGAGGACATTGACCAGCTGATCAGAAGCATGCCTAGGCGCGTTGGAGAATGCGTAGCACATCAGGGTGCATCCTCACATTATTAAAGGTCAAAGGGCTTTATACAAAATTTTATTAAAATAAAATCATTTAAACTGGGTGTTCGGATTTATATGTCACTTAGTATATATTTAATACCGGAATTGAGCGCAACGAAGATAGAAGAATTGCGATTCCGTAATAAATGAATCGAATGTAAAGGCGTATAGCTGTCATCCAGCGGGATTATGCCTGATAATGATAATTAGTGAACATTGGTTAGCTAACAACATTCGCGGCGAAACATGGTTCGATGTAACGATGTAAAAATTGGAATATAGGAAAGCAAAGCTCCGCACATGTCAATCTGTTTACTTATGTCGTATGACTTATTGTAATGTAACCGCCATAAACTGTGAAAGGAACTATCAACTGGGTAAATCCTAATCAACACATTTCGGACTAAAACGGATCTACTGGACGACTGACCTCAATCCCGTAAAGCCGCGTACAGACCGAAAATCGAACGCCGAGCAAATGCGCTCGTCTACACGTCGTCTACAAGGAAATTTAGGTTTGAGAAGGACCGCGTCGGATTAAATTCGGTGCTAATGTCGAACAACGAATCTCATCTCATCGAATGCAGACAAACGACTAAATACGAGAAGCGCAACAAATCTTGTCCAGACCAAATCAAACCTCTCTTTGATGTACCGATCAAGGAGCGAACGCAATCGAACGCTAACGCCCACCCTGGAAACCGTTAGTTTATGTTGGCTCGCGTCATACGCACCGATTCGAACACCTCCAAATCTGTAACCACACGTGCCTTGGCTTACGTTGGAATCTCGGTCTGTAAGCGGCTTAATGCTCATCTATCCCAATAAACTCATAGCACTTACATCGCAATTTAATAAAAGAGAAAGGGGTTACGTTTACAAATACGTAAATACCAATTCAGATGTAAGATGTTTTATATTAAGTTGCCTAGGCTTCAATCAACCTGTTTAAAATGATACTGTCTTGTTGCTAACAATACGTTATCCTAAAAACGCGTTAGAAGTCAGAACCTGTCTCGCTGATCAACAATACTACTTTCCATTTTTAAGTTTTCCGAAATCCAGCTTAACGTGCTTCCTTATTATCGAACTTATATCATTAACTGCATGTCAATTAAGGCTTTATTGGAGTAATTAAGTATTAGGTTTAGTTGTTTCCATAAGAACTTCAATCAGCGACAAAAAATGAACAAGATAGCGAAGTTTCAGGAGAACTTGTACTAAATCCCTTATATGGTATTCTTTGATATTTATCTGATAGATAAATAATAAGTGTAATTGTTCTATTTAATTTTCAGGAAATGACCACGGAAAGCAGAGCAAAGTGATTCTGACAACATCCCAAGCATTCCTAATCGCGTCATTGATCCGGGAATATGCCGAAGTCCTTCATGCACAGGCTGTAGAGGCCCAACGCCCTCCAGTTCCTGCGCATAGACTGCAGCAGTCGCAAACCTTACAGGGTGGTATGTTGGTGCCTCCACAGCCTAGCTAGAAGAGAGTTACTTTCGCAGATCAGGTCCAAAAGGCCTGTTATTAGCTCAGAAACACTATCTTATGATGAGTGTACGGTGTTTGGCTGGAAAGGATAATAAATTTTATATAGCATACTGTTGGAATATTGGTTTTGTACATTACAGGTAGTAAGTAACAATAAGTTTAAACTTTATGCTCGATAGAAATTGCATAGTTCCAAAAAGTATCTACCACTCATTAGGAATTCTACGAGGAAAATGATCCAATGTTGCTGTGTGTAGTCATGCAGAACACTAAAACTTGATGTCTGCGTAAGTTAGTAACTGCTTTTTTTTATATAATTTGATAACCATATCTTGGGCCATATTGCGTACCCGCTTCTTCACTTCTCTGAGTACAACTCATCTGCTCTAACATTCTTGGCAACGTACGTAATTGCCGCATCAAGAATCAAATTAGGTACCCAAATACTGACAAGGAAAATGAGCCTCAGAATAAAGAGGCCTCAATTGAAGGAGCGACTATGCATTCAGCCCTAAACAAAAGCAAAATGAAACAAAACCATAACGTTCAACCAGCATTAAATCCAAGTCGTTCATTGAAGTTGACTGAATGAAGAAAAAAATAATAAAACTCGTTGACATTTATTGCAAGTTCCTATAAAGCGACCATTTATCTCAAAATCTCCATTTTTTCAATTCCATAAATTAATCAATAATCCCATGATACTTTAGGGAACTATTTCAATGAAAATGGTTTGTTGTTAAACCATTTATTGATGGGTAAGTTATATAAATAGTAAAACCATGATAATATCAATGTAGAAGTCCTTAATTTGCTACATTTTGATATAGCTCTAGAATGCACAGGAAATGGGAACAATATTATTAAATGTTAAGGATCGAGAATTTCTCAGTTGTAATTTATAGATACGAAACTAATAATAGTCTAATCATATTAGACGAAAATACCCCTGGTTTTCTAAATAATTGTAAAGTCTGGTTTTATTTGCAGCAAGTTGTTCAAAGGGTATTCAAAACATGGACGCATTAAACGGGTACACCAATTTGTGCGGGAAAACTTTTGATTCAACAACAAAGAAACAGAAAACGTGTTTTGTGGGATTCAATCGAAAGTGTTGGCAGGTACGAAAAAACTCTTCATATAAGATTTTTAGGTATTTATGAGACCTAGAAAATGACACCACACGTAAAAAGATCCGACTAGTCAAAAAGGTGATGGTCGAAAACCGAGGCAAACTGCAGGTTTTAGCACTTGTTTCTAATGCGATGATGGTTTCTCGCAGATATTTGAAATTCCTCAAATTCGTAGGATTCGTACTTCTAAATAACCGCAACAAAATTGAGTAGATTGGTCGAGTAGTTTGTTAGAATTTCTAATTGTTTATCCCAAAACACCTGTTTTCCGGCCATCAATACTACCTTATTGAGCAATATTCAGGGTTAGTTCAAAGGGCAATTTATAGCAAAATACACTATTTTACCTTGCCGATAAGAATCGCAAACCATTCCGGAAGATAAATGTTATTTTTATGCAAAAAAGGATAGGTACGTTTTTTCTTCTAAACAAATTCAGTCATGTATTTGTGAGTAATTCGTAACTAAAGTTATTGTTTTAAAATTTCTATAGTAACGAATGTTTTCAATTACTCTCAAATATGGAATGCTTGAATTTGTTTAGAAGAATAAAACGTAACCTTTGTTTTTCGCATAAAAATAACATTTATCTTTCCGAATGGTTTGTGATTCATATCAGCACGGTAAACACGTGTATTTTGCTATTAAATGCTCTTTGAACGAACTGTGTATATTGTTCAATAATCTAGTAGTGATGACCGGAAAACAGGTGTTTTGGGATAGACAATTAGAAATTCTCAAAAAACTACTTGACCAATATACATACTCCAATTTTGTTGTTGCCATTTAGAAGTAAGAATCCTAGGGATTTGAAGAATTTCAAGTAGTTGCGTGAAATTATCGTCGCATTACCAACAAATGCCAAAACCTGCATTTTGCCTGGTTTTCCGGCCATAACATTTTTGCTATTAGTCGAATCTTTTTACGTGTGGTCTCATAAATACCTAAAAATCTTATATGAAAAGTTTTTTCGTTCCTGTCAACACTTTAGATTGAATCCCAAAAAATACGTTTTCTCATTCTTTGTTCTCAAATAAAAAGTTTTCCCACAAAATAAAACAACTTGCACCAATAAAAACAGACTTCACAATTATTTCGGGGAAGCTTACTAATATGCTTAGACTAAGTACCGTTGGACATAATCAAATGACAGCCCGCGCACTGGACGACGCAAAGAGAAGTAACAGGTACCTTTTAACGCGTGCAAATGACAAATGTCGTCGCGTACCTTGAAATGAAATTAAGATCGCATTGTCAAAAATATAGTGTATTCTAGAGGAAAATTACATTAAATAAACAAAAAGGTTCTCCAAAATAAACAGTCTTCTATTGTATATGTACACTTACTGTATAATCTAGTGCATGACATCCGTATGGCGATTAAGATACCTTTAAGCATACTTTAATGTTATTTTGAACTTCTCCGAATCGAGTGATAGATCTAACTGATTAGTTAAGTAAGTATAATCAAAACAACAATAAGTAAATAAGTAACTGTTATAGGTTGTGCTACGCTGAGAAAGTTTACACTGAGTGAGAAAACTAGTTCGAAATTTATAAAAAAGTGTTGTATTTCAGATAAGAAGATTTCTACCAGCCAAACATTTTTTGAGCTAAGAATATTACATTTACCTAGTTAATGAATTGAATGTACCATTTCGATTTTGTATGTTGGTAAATGTATTGGTCTGCGAAAATTTTGACAATTGCTGTAAACCAAACCAAATGACAATTTGAAAGTATTATAATTTTTCTGTTTGTACGGATTTTTAGATATTTTTCATAAAAGACTGAATAGTCCAAATATAAGTATAACTACATTTTACGCATATATACATACATAATATATGCTGTTTGATGTCCTACATGATCAATTGTTATTCATTCCAATGAAGCAGATATTTTTACAAAATATATTCAGATTCACCCAAAGATGGTACCCATCATGCTTCGTATAAGAATACACATTCATAATAACAAAAATTTTTCTTGAATTATTAGTGAGCAAATTTTTAAGCATAAGCAAGGTAGAATCTGTAAGAAGCATGGGCCGATTGGTCTAACAGTCTAGCCTTTACTTATTGGCATCAACTTTAGGTGGCTTCAAGTATTCTTGAACATATCTGTATGAACTAAAGAATATGATTGAAAAATATGGGTACACATACCTAAAGATGCAACAATATTGGTGATGAACGATTGAAAGAGAGATAAATAGAAGCATAATGATTTATCAAGCTGTAAAGAGGTTGAAATGAAATATATGATTGGTCTTGTGAGGACTAAGCTTCCATACATATATAGTTATTACATTTTAAATGATAGATCTAAACTTGTTTGACCATTTACAAATGTTACACCAGCTAGTCAAATTGTATATAATCCAACAAAACTATATTATTGTACAGCTGTTATACTATGGTGCGCACATTGTTTTCTTTTTCATGATATATCAAGCTTTTGCTTCCCGTTTTTGTACATTTTTTTACAATACTTTTTTTAAAATTGTGATATCCCTCATTTTATTTCTATGATTTTATCCTATTGCTATTTTGTAAAGTCTAGGTTTACGTTTTGTAAATTATAACTATTTATATGACAGTATAAATAAAATTATTGCAGACTAGTTTTGCATTTTTATTATCTATGGATGTATCAAACATAGAACGTCATTGGGCATTACAACTGATAGTGGGTTAATTCTTGAAATGAAGGAGTAAAAAAACTGATATAAAGTGAGCATAGCTTACAGGGAACTGTATTTCTCAATACTGATAGAAGAGTTTGCTTGATGTCTCATTCTCGGGAGAAAACGATCGGAAGTAAGGCCGGCATCCATCAATCTCATATCGAAATACGAAGGTAATATATTATTTTACAAAAAAAAATTAATGTGTTCACAAGTACCACAAAACATATGGAAATTGACCACCGGTTCGTATAGTTATAGTTCATATTGTGCTCATCAAATGTTCCAATGGGCGCAAAGCCCAAAAATGCAGGAGATAGGTGTTAAATTCTGGTGCCTTAGCCACTGTCCGTAAGCCTACCTGCAGTATTTGACGAAAACTAACTCGTCTTTATTGTAGACTTAACGATATAATGAAAATCACGTGAACACATCACAGTGTCCCAACGAAAATGGAAAGTACTTTAATAGAAAAACTGTAAAAGATAAAAGCGATTTTCAGAGCAAGATTAACATCGTATAGATACGATATTTTTGAATTACTTGGTGATAACTAAGACACAATTGACGGGTGTTGTGAGTATCCGATACCTCAGAGCGTCCGCAGACTGCATCCCTCGAAAAAAAAAATGGGAAAAATCGGTATTTTGGTAGGAAAATGCGCGGTACTGTTATACACCCCAAAATAATGAGAGTAATACGCATTTTAGAAAATAAATTAGTGAAACTGGGTGTCAAATAATGAATAAAATGTGTTGGTGGACACCCTGCGGTCCCGGCAAGGGGCGGTTTTGTGGTGCTCCAGATAGATGGAGGCACCACATTGTTCACGGGTTTTGTGGCGTTCTGACGAAGATCAATAACTTTCGATCGATGACTGAACTAGAGACGTTGAGTTATCTGCCCTTGTAAATCCGACAGCAAACTATGTGGGGGCCCCTGGGCATAGAGAAAGCTCAGCCTGCGGATGAAGGGACCAGAGCAAAATACGGGTCTCTATTTTACCGCTGAGGAAAATTGACACGCGGAAAGGGGTATTCAGACATTTTGATTTTTGGGTATTCGGGCCCTCCCAACAAACCAGGGCACTGGGCCCGAGCGCCGTGGGCCCATATGAATAGGCTAACAGTGTTAGCTTGGCAATGTCATATGTGAATTGGCTACCAAGCTGACTCAGCAAACCTGTTCATGCACTGTTGATGCTGTTGATCATGCTCACAAAATCATGGTACAATGTATTGTGTACTCAAGCGGGCTGTAGTATAAAGGGAGACCTCCTAATCTACCTTTTGTAAGGAATTGTGGAGATTCACAATGGAGATCAACAAAGGGAAACTTAATGAATATCACAAAATGAATGCCGTGAACATATGAATGTGGATACTATTATATTCTCAAAATATTAAATATATGCACTATTGTATTTGCTCAGGCGCGGATTCAGAATCACGTCTTGGAGGGGGCAAGTAGTGGACATTGCCTACTGTCAGAGAGTACTTTGCGCTTATTATGAAGTAATTAAGGAGAGAAGTATTTGTATGAACAAAATGCACATTTATTTTAAGTTATCCCTTCAAACCAAAAACAATAATGTGGTCTCTCCTTCTTCCTCATTTTTCCTACAAATCTGAGGCCTTGGGAGGGGGCTAATGGCACTGTCGCCCCCCCTTAATCCGCGCCTGTATTTGCTTGTCAAGTGTGACACCATTTTTGTGGATCCAATCACCGAATCACCCGTAACAGAGTGGAGAGTGGTCATAATGCATGTGTATTTGACAAAGTGAAATTTCTGTATGAAACTAACTCAAGTCAAATGACAGTGAGGATATCTATGTGCAAAAACTCTTGTTTATCTGTTTGACACGCTTCACTGCACGTAGAGGTTATGTTTATAAGTTGCTTATCCAAGTGTCAAAGTTTAATTTGCCTAAACAGGAAATTAGATCTATAAATAATTCAAGCATACAATTCCAATTATAATACAATACCTATAGTATGTAATGTCCAGATTCATATTTAGGTCAGCTCTTGGAAAAACCAAATATCCAAGCATAATACTGAATCAAATACCACAATCCACACCATCTAGCCTACACACATCAGGTAAAAATAGCTTTTCAATCCAAATTTAGTCACATGTGGTCTTAAAAGTATTTATAGCTTCGCAATCTTGACACACTTTCCTCAGTTGTTTAATACAATTGCAGCTGTAAACATGGCTAAAGAAATCAGTAAGGAGGAAATACGGAAAAGGCTGACACCTCTACAGTATCAAGTAACACAGGAAAAAGGGACTGAAAGACCATTCTCTGGTAATTTTGACAGTTCAAACGTTAACTACTTATTCTCAAAAAAATATGTTAATAGGTTGCTATAACAAAACATATGATGCTGGAACATATGCTTGTATAGTATGTGAACAACCCCTCTTTAGCTCAGAAACGAAGTACGATAGTGGTTGTGGATGGCCAGCTTTCAATGATGTGTTGGACCAAGGAAGGATCAAGCTGACACCTGACTTGAGCGGAGGTACGTTTTTGAAAATTTAATTTTGCATTATAAGCCACTGCTGAGGCTCAGAACAATTGAAAAACAAGTTGTGGTAATTAGTCAATTTGTAAAGCTGAGACATAATGGAGGAATATCTTTTGTCAATCTAGGCAAGTCACTGTATCTTTCAGATCCTGCCTTAAGTAAAACTATACCAAGTTTTTTTATCCCATTTATGATACTGGTTAGTTTTCATCTGTCTTTTCTTAATTACTCTGCTGTCTGTAGTGAATACCAGTACCCTCGTAGCAGTAATATTAACCACAAAATCATCCTGGGCTGAATGTGTCAGTCACCAGACACTACTGGTAGTCAGACAAATCTTATATTATTGGTAAAACTTGAATATTTGAAATTTTATACTTGCTGATAATTGGTACCAGAAAATTACACATCTACAGTTGTTGTATTAATAACAGTATTAGCACATAAAAAACAGCATTCATTCAATTCCTCAGTTTTTATCAGTTGTGTAGTGAGTTACAAACTTTTAAAGGCAAATGGAATCATCAGCTGACAGTATATCAATGCTGTTCTTGTTACATATGCAAGACATTCAAAATTTATGAAAAAAAAAATAATCACAATATGTTCTTTCAATATTTTGAAGTCAAAATCCAATAGTCAGCTGCTTCTGCTTGCATGGATGTTGTCAATATTTATTTTTCTGTCTAACCATATATACTAACAGACTTCTCTCCTGGCATTAAACAAACCAAATTACAACTAAAGCCCCAGCCAGCTAAAGATAAAAAATAATGTAGATTATGGCCTGTGATATTGTATCCAACTACTGAAGTGAAAAAAATTTCATAGCATCCCAATAACCAGTCACTTCCATTTACCTGCCATTTTTTCATGATGCTATGAAATAAAGTTCTGTAAATACAGTGAAGCTGTGAGAAATATTGGGAAATTGCCTAAAATGTATAAACGGTGTGGTAGTAGTAGTCGACAGTGCAGGATCGGGCTAAAGGAAAAAATTAGTTTCTTGTTCATTTTTATGTAGTTTGTATGTATTTTTGATACAAATAGGTATTTTTCTCGAAGTCTTAATGACATGACTGATTTGAAAACTCTATTCAGTTATAACAAATTTTTAAATACAGTTCTGTCTAAACTAAATGCTGTCTGAAAATTGGTAACTAGCTGGCCGACTAGTAGAACCTTCTGTCCAACTACTGGTGAAACAGCACCTTTTTGATGAATATCGTTTTGTAAAATTATAGGACTATCTATAAGCAATGTATTTGTTGTCTGCAAAAGTTAAGCATATACGAGGGATGTCTTTTGAGTTTTGCATATTGAAATAAAACAACACGGTAGGTAGTTTTAAATGACTTTGTTTTTCGAAGTATTCTCCACAAAGATTATTATTCCGATCGTTTGCTGGCAGATCCAAAACGGCATTTTTGAATGCGTCAACTGCTTCTTTTGATGACTGGAACCTTTGACCACGCAGTCTGTTTTTAATTTTCGGGAAAGTAAATAAATCGGACTTAGATCGGGACTATATGGAGGATGGTCCACGTGTTCTTCCGTTAAATACTGCCTTGTTTTCTGAGCTGTGTGCGAGGTTGCATTGTCTTGGTGGAGGATGATTCTTCTTTCGGGGTTGATTTTTCGAAGCTCGGTGATGACTTTTGGCAAACAAATGGTGGTATACGAATCCGCAGTAACAGTTCTTTGCTCATTAAGAGGAATTGTTGCAATATGACCCGCTTTTGAGACAAATGTCGCGACCATCTTTTTCGAAACACTTGGAGAACGGATGACTTTAGTTGGCTTTTCTTCACCTTGGAACACCCAAACAGCCGACTGTCGATTATTTTCTGTTTCATAACAGTAAATCCACGATTCATCACCACTAACAATGCTGTAAACATTTTTTTAATTTCCGGAATTGAAACGGTCAAGCGTTTTTTGACACCAATTAACCCTGGCTGCTTTCTGCTCTTCAGTGAACAGGTGGGGTATCCAACGAGAAACTAATTTTCTTACTCCTAATTCTTCATGTAAATTTTTTTGAATTGAGGTCTTTGAGATCTTCAAGGACGTCTCAATCTCGCGATATGTCACATGTCTTTCTTCAATGATGAGTTTGCGCACAGCATCGACGTTTTCTGGGTGACTGCCGTTTTTGGTGCACCCACCCTGGGATCGTCGCTAAGACTAACCCATCCACGTTTGAATTCTCCATACCAACGGAAACTTGTCGACTGATGAGGCGCTTCGTTGCCGAAAACAGACAACAGACAGTAACTCAGCAAGGCATTCTTGTTGCGATAATTGTCTCTGAAAGTTGTAATAAATTATGGCGCGAAAATGTTCTCGGTTGAGTTCCATTTTTCTAATGACTTGGTGACACTTAAAATTCACTGCTGTAGTGAGAACACTGCACGTATTGTTGTGAAATTTTGAATTTAAGTTTGCTAAAGAGTGAGGTTAGGATTCAGTACTGACGTTCGATCCGCGCGGCCTACTAGGTTTCTATATGTAAAACTTAAAAGACATCCTCGTATGTTGTTACCTCCAAAAAGATTTTAGTTTAGTTATGTTGAACACAAAATTCATAATTACACTTTGAATTCCATTTTTCTCTAACCTGTCCTGTCTGTCCATCGGTACATTCACCCTACCAAGGTGTCAGAATCTAATGTTGGACAATGGAGTATTGGCAAAGTCATAGTTTATTTTCATACAAGTATGGTAGTGAAATAACTTTATACAGTATTGATGTTAATGCACAGTTTTCACTGCATTTTAGAAATTGAATAGTTCATTCTCAGCATGTTGTGGGAATGTTTCTTTCAAACATCACATTTCTATTTGTTTATGATTAAACTGGAGATAAAGAATATAATTCATTGTGGAATAAACATTTAATCTCCATTTAAAGATTACTACAACTGGAATCTTTATATCATCATTTTGTCGAGTCTAGTCTAGTACTTCAATTAGATCAATTCGTGAGGAATGAACAATGAATTGTGTTCTTTGTTGTTTTGAGGATTTTAATCCTCTTCAAAGTTTGGGCAGATCAAAGTCAACAAAAATACCCTATACTTTGAATAATGTAATATATATGAATATGATACAAACAGTAGGGTATTGTCGGGAACAGTGGCTCAGTCGGGTACAGTGGCTCCATTCAATATCTCCAAAACGAGAGAGACTATCTATCTGTCGCAGTCATCTACATCAAGTGTTTACGACACAAATGCGCATGAACCAGTCGGTCAGCAACTAAAGCACTGATAGCACGCGTCTCGCCTTTGTGTTGGTTTTCAGGTACCCAAAATTACATTTCCAGGTAAGTTTGACTTTAAAATTCTAGCTTAATTGCTGTAGTTTATTATTTATTTATATTTTGTAGTAAAGTAAGTAGAAGCAAGATAATTTTAACTTTGCTTAGAACAGCCAGTGCAACGTGAATATGGCACAGAAGACATATATTTCAAAATGGCGTCACGGTCGACAGTGGCTCAGCACGTGGAAGTAGACAGTGGTTCACGAGCCACTGTGTACTATTAGTGAACCATTGTGTACCGCTTACTTGAATATTTGTTTCAGAATGCCTCGCAAGAAACGGGCAATGAGAAAAATTGGCAACAGCTCCGCTGCAGACGTTAAAGCTGGGGTACTATTAATAAGGCAGGGTATGTCTATCAGAAAAGCAGCTACGAGTTGTGGTGTGCCATTTATTACCCTGAAGAGGTATTATTGGAAAACTGCTGGTTCCGAAAATCTCGATGAGGAGCGATTCGAGCCGAATTATTCTGTGAACCAGATCTTTACCGCATCCCAAGAAGAGAAGTTGAAGGAATATTTTTCGCATTGCGCTCTTCTGTTTTACAGATTAACTGCAAGAGAATGTCGTCAAGTGGCGTATCAATGTGCTAAGCTAAATAATATAAAGATGCCTAAATCTTGGACAGACAATGAAATGGCGGGTAAGGACTGGTTAACTTTGTTCAAACGTAGGAACAGGTTTTCTTCCAGGAGACCAGAACCTTGTAGCCTAGCAAGACCTACAGCCTTCAACCGAAACAACGTCAATAATTTTTACAATAATTTAGAAGATCTGATCAAGAGAAACTCGGCTTTTGCAAATGGTACCCGTATATTTAATCTGGATGAAACATCAACGACAACAGTGCAAAAGCCTCAAAAAGTAATAGCACCATTAGGCAGAAAATGCATTGGAAAAGTCACAAGTGGTGAGAGAGGAACTTTGGTAACCACATGCTGCATTGTAAGTGCCAGCGGCAACGCTTTGCCACCAGTTATGATATTTCCTAGGAAAAAATTCAAAGATCATATGATCAAAAACACACCTGCAGGAACACTCGGCTTAGCAACGCCTAGTGGATGGATGAACGCGGATAGTTTCACAGAAGTAATGAAACATTTTATCAAGCATACGAACTCTTGCAAAGAAAATCCTAGTATGTTGGTAATGGATAACCACGAGTCACATTTGAGCATTGAAGCCATACAGTTGGCAAAAGATTGTGGAGTCAATCTCCTCACTATTCATCCCCACACTTCGGGGAAATTACAACCACTTGACGTGGGAGTATTTAGCGCGTTCAAAGTATATTATAATGCTGGCATCGATTCCTGGCTTATGACACATCCTGGAAAGCCTGTTACCATATATGACTTAGGTGAAATCATTGGGGCAGCCTTTCTTGAAGCAATGACCCCAACAAACATTACCAGGGCTTTTGCAAAATGTGGTATTTACCCATTCGACAGAAACCTTTTTACAGACGAGGACTTTCTGCCAAGTACAGTAACAGATCGTCCAGGTCCCTGTTCAGACTGTTTGCCACGTGAAGAAGGGCTCATAAACGTAAACATCAATTCAATGAATGTCATCGAGTTGGGAGCACCGGAAGAGACCACTACTGCGCACTCATCGGAGCATTCTATTTCACAGACTTGTGCAACATCAGAAAAACCATGCTCACCAACGTTGGGTACTTCGACGACACAACCAAGTCAAATTGAAACCACTGTTGTGTCTATCAACCATCAATCCATTTCTAAAGAAGTGGAAACGAAGAACCTGTCCGATGAAGATTCAATTTTGACAAAAACAAAAGTATCCAATACCGTTTCAGTTCCATCAGGACTCCAGTCATTAAAAATATTAGCTCCTGAAGTGCTCATATCAGCAATTTCTTCGAACAAACTTCCACCCAAGCCATATATAATTACCCCGACACAAGACGTTGCTTTGACACCATCCATTTCTCAATCAGCTGAGAATACTTTTACATCTCCGTTTGAGTTTAGAGACCCAATAAAGGCTGGACCTAGAACAACTACCCGCAAGCGAAGGAAACCAGGCCGTAGCATGATTCTTACTGACACACCGGAAAAAGTTCGTCTAGAACAAGAAAAAATAGCTGCTAAAAGTAAAAACACTAATAAGAAGGGAAAAGTCACTCGAAAAGTATTACAAAGTGATGAAGAAGATAATGATCAAGAGAAGGAAACAGTGGAATATGCTGAATCTGATGATGATACAGACTGGGCAGCAGAAGATGAAGACGAAAACTTTGACGAAGAATCAGTGATTATAACTGAAAGGCACCTAACCAAATCTCTAACTCGTGCGCCACTAGAGGGCGAATATGTGATTGTACAATTTACAACAAAAAAACTTACATCGCTTTACGTTGGAAAGGTGATAGAAGGTAGAAATGAGAATAATGAATTCTACATATCATTTCTGAGGCGTACGCCTGGTACTAGCAAATTTCACATGCCTGATAAGCCTGACCTTTCTGTTATAAAAGAAAGTGATTTGAAATTACTTCTGCCAAAGCCTTCAATTGTTGGCACTTCTTCTAGGCCGTACTATAATTTTGGACTAGATTTATCCCAACTTCGGATATGCTAAGAGGTATAAGGGTTATGGAGTTATTAATTTTTATTTTTGACTTGTTCTACAAACTTTCATCATTCGATGAGCTTAAGGAGTAAGATTGGTTTTTGTCTCTGATTGTAATAAAAGTTTTTTTTAACATTATAAGTACAAAAGAATACTTACAAAGTAATGTGTACATTTGTAAGTTAAGTAGAAGACTTAATTTTATTTGCTTGCTGATTATTATTATTGTTATTATTTATGCTTACGATGAGACTTATTAAAGTAGAAGTTCTTCAGTGTTTTGTAAGGCAAATAGGAGTCTGATGTATGTGTGATTTTGATTATTTCAATGTTAACAGCTACGATGCGCTCATTTTGTTTTTTAATATAGTAATGGGAATAAGTTTATTTTGATCAGTGTTTTTTCCGAGATATTCAAATGTGACTCAGAAATAAAGATTTCAACAGCATTCCCGTACTTTTGATTAACTCGGTTTGTCTTGAGTCTCTGTGTACTGTTAGAACCACTGTGGACCACTGGGGTGTGTCACTGTAGCACCCTACCTGTGCACAGTGGCTCATTTCTAATTTTTTACAAAATCATTATTGGTTGTTTTTTGGCACCCTTTGTGGACATTTCGATGGCACAGGATAAAAATTTCATAACCTCTGCCCACATTGGCCGAGTTTCAAGCCATTTGGTGAAGACTCGATGAATATTAGAGTCAACTGAAAAAAAGTGAGCCACTGTTCCCGACAATACCCTACACACTTTTTATCCCACTCTTATTATCGATTTGTATGTATTGCCTTTATCTGCACAAGTTTTGTGATATTATTAGTGTATTTTATTGGCATTATAATGTGTGGAGTCAAACTGTCTTATACGATAAAACCTTCTATCAGGAGAATATGGTGCAAAAATAATCAGAGCTAGCCTATCCCTCTGGAATGGGATGCACCAAATGATTTTATGAAGACCCTTCTGGAAGATCCTAAATACTTCTTAAAAAAAATCATGCAGAACTAGTGTCATTCAAAAAACTCACCCCAGCAAACTCTTTGTGGTCCTGAAACAAAACAATTTATAGTCATTATATTTGTCATTTGCTACTTGAAAATGTAAATAATCCACACTGAATTTTGCTCTTATGTAGAGCATGACTTAATTCCTTATTTTTTTGTCCACTATTTAGAAGCTTATAAAACAAAGTAATGATATAAAATATGTAAAATCGCGTCGGACGTATTTATGTATGTAAATAATTAGATATCCTTCAAAGCATAGAGAACCCAGTCAAAGCTTCTTAGTAATATTAGTCTACTTCCTTTTTCAACTGATGCTGCCATAATAATTATAAACTTACCAAAGAGTATCATCACCTCCAAAGTACCATAAAGTTTAGAGTTCCCACAAATTCACTGAACGCCCGACCAAACGCACTATGGCACGAAAACTCCCGCATAACACTTTGAAAAATCAGTTTCATTACCCGTTTTCCTGAAGAAAGCCTCCAAACGTCCAAACTGAAAATCGAAGAAATACGTACAACCGTACAACTACCGATAACCGGATTCAGGGCGCCAATTTACTCATTTGTTTTTTGTGGTTTTTATGTAGAATCAACTAGAACTAGACGTAAATATTGATGTACAGTAGCTTAAAAATTTATGCTTTCTAGTAGAATACTAGCATTTTCCGAAGACTCGTGACTGTATTTTTCAAATAGACTAGGGCATTAAGTAAAAATCTCCAACCACAGTTATTTAAAAGTCTGAGAATGATTTGTAAATGCTCTGGGACAGCGATATTTACAAAATTTTGAACCGGATGACAAGCGATGGGTAATGAGCACTGTTGCCAGATTTATAAATTATCCAGAAACAGGCCTACTTTATTAAGTTCAAATACGTTTAGTCTTTTGTCATTGAGTTGCCTCCACTTTGGCTCATGCAAATGTGGTTGCTTAGGATCAGGGTGTTTAGAGTTTTATCTGGTTTTCTGGAATCATGGGAAAATTATGGGAGCGAGCTAGAACTACGACGGGGCGTAACTCCCGCATGGGTATCATGTAAAAAACCTATAAAATGTCAAAAAAACCTATAAGATGTCATCTTGCAAACTAAATAGTTTTTAGGGCGCAAACAGTCATTCCATGTTTGCTCACTAGGATCGTTGTGAACGTCCATCTAAGGAGGAATCACTCAACTAAAGTAAACGCATTATTGGTTGCATATGTTTTGTGAGACCAAATGGTCCTTGTCTGTAGTTTTTATCTCTGAGAAGAAAGTTGGTTGAATAGCAAGTTCGCATGGATGATTATGTGTATTGGTCTGCATGTGTATAAAATCAGTGATATTTGCTGTGTGAGAAAATCATTACTGAATATGCTACCAATGAAGTATGCCTATTGGCTGTGCCCGACGGGTTATTTTTATGTTGTGCTTTCTGAGGAGAGGTTATGTTCAAGGTTATAAATTACGAAAAACCGAGGAGAATTACGGGAAATCATCACCGCGCCCGCGTTGTGTGCAATTACTGTTAGCATGTATATGGCTTATAATTCGACAGTGTACAGTGAATATAATTATTTCTTATCTCAATCATTTTTGAAATTCAGCAAATTTGTATATGTAATTTCCAGAATGGATAAGAAAAAGTGGATGCGCAACTAATTTCTAGCTTTGAATCTCAATTAAGTGTATTTGAGACAAGAACCCAATGTAATTATCATCAACACATACAACTTACAGCTTAAACCTCCAGTAATGCCATCTCAGAAGCAGATTTTACATCACATCAGAGCCAAAGATTGATAACAAGCCTCATGACGTTTAGGCAACATGTACAACTAAGTGCTAAGTTAATATCTTGTAGAAAAACCTACATAATGTCAAAAACAACAGTATAAAGTCAAAAAATCAGCATAATGTCACTTTTCAAGATACGTGATACCCGTGCCACTGACTAAAATCATATTTCTAGCCCATGAAGACTAGATATAGAAGGAAAAACATAGACTGAAGCCAAATGTGTCGTGAATGAAGGCTTCTACATCTCTCATATCTCTCTTTTACGTCCATGTTTATACATGCGCAGAAGCCCTACGCACACGTTTCCGAGAGCCACGCGCTCCTTACCGCCATCAGTATTGGCTTCCTACGAAAGTGTCTTTTCTTACGCGGCTCATATATCGACTGTTCATGTCGGCTAGGAAGTTATACCACTGCAGAGATTTCCTCCGCTCTAGTCTCGAAGGGCTTTAGCGCGCCTCTAGATCATATTCGATTATTTATGGCTGCTGTTCAGAATCTTATCTGATTTTGAAAAAATCTGGCAGAAAATTGCTTGCAAATAGCCTCCAACTCATGTCCAACTACATTTGTTCAAACTACGTATCTTTTTAACAAATTGCACAAATTGGCAACGCCAACAGATATCTGGTATATCTGTCAAAATGAAAGTTGACAGATGTCGTAATTAAAAATTAGGAATTATTTGTACACATTACACAACTTTAATTTTTCTCATATAAATGCACAACAGAAATGAATATTTGCAAGTAATAATCAAAAAAAAATGAATCGGCATCCAAGACAAAAGCTATGATTTACAGTTTACAGTGTGTCTTATTAACTGTGGTTTTCTAACTTGATAAACTGCTATTTTTTAAACCTTTTTGTTAAAAATAAATGATACCTTTAATGTGCTACTTCTACTGTATGTTTTCCTTAAAAAAATGTCCATTTGTAACGGGTTTTCCAATTCAAACAATCATGATATTATGCGCTAAGAATATGCTTACTTTTAAACTTACTACTAAAAACTGTACGCTTCAAATTTCCATACAGTTTGAAATTTCCCGCAGTTGTTACATTCGAAACACACGCTAGCACGAAAACGCCCGAGACATAGTTTCAACCGACACATATCCAACGTATTTTCACAGAAAAAAATATATCAAAAACTTCTTAAGTTAAGCGTCCGCAAACGAACGTGTAAACATAACAAAGAATTGACAATCACGATACAATACCATACCACTGATAAAGGCCAATCAGCTCTGTCTCACATCTACTGTCTCTATTCATTTCTTTTTCTGAAGTTTTTTCGCCACAAGCGCGCGAAAGTGAATATTGAGGTACAATAATGCCCATCATTTATGCGTACAACGTACAACTAAAATATAATCGGTTTTTCTGGAACACTCGCGTTTTTTTTATGTTTAAGTGAACTAAGAATTTCGTAGTTCCAAATTTTATGTGAGATCTTGCAGGGTTGTACAACTACCTAATAAGATTATCGAATGCATATTTTGCCCACTATTATTGCGATGAGTTTAAATTCTACCCATTAAGCTCAATGAAACGTAACACAAGTAGCTACTGCACAAGGCGCGAATCCAGGAGGGGCAACAGAACCGTTGCCCTCCCGACCTCAAACTTGCAAGAAAAATTAGAAAATGGGAAAGGAGAGGCCACATTGTTTCTTGTTAGTAACTTAAAATAAATGTGCGTTCTGTTCTTACACTGCTGTTTATTATTTCTCTTCTTAATTACATTATAGTAAGCGCAAACCACTTGACAATAAACCCTGAAACTATGCAACCCACACTTCTTGCCCCCTCAAGATCCGGGTTCCGCGCCTGGCTTTACTCCCAGTGTAATTAATACACATTTTTGATAATGTGTGAGTGAATAAAAAAAATCGTGCAACAAAAAGTTCCACATGAACGAAAATAAGCATTATCTTGGTAAGAGTATGTTGATCCTAAAAAATTCGTTGGAACGAAAAATGTGGAGGATATCGTCTGAGGTCTTCCCTTAAAAATATTCAAAGAGGTCCAGGCAAATTTTCGTAAAATTTTTGCACATACTCATGTGTCATTAATAAATATTTTAAAATAAACTTATCAAAGTTAAAGTTGTCACAGCATCCGCTGAACGCCCGAAACACATACTCTCTCGAAAATTCCCGAGATTGAAATTACCATAAATGAAAGAACAGTACTGTTTTTCCACGAAAAAGCCACAAAAATCTCCAACAAAGCGCCCAAGTATCACCGAGTCAGTTGGAACTACCCGTAGCGACTATCGAAATGCATAGCTACTGTCAATCCATTTGTTTCTTTTGAGAAGCTTTTTCCACATTTTTGTAGATCTTGATGTACGTCTAACGCACGTCACTTGCGAATACTCTTGATTTTCTGGAATACTCGTTTCTGCGCTTTTTTTTCGTAATTCTCGGAGAGATAATAGTTTTTTCCTGTTACGATCATAAAAATGCATTGTTAGTCTCCTTTTTTGTTATCGCGTAATCTCACCACTGCTGCATGGGTTTATATGATCAAAATACTTACAGTCATATATACAGGGTGACTTTGAAGTTGAGTCATTAATTTTCAGATAATGATTGTAGAAGGAAGATAAACCAAAATATGTGTGTAAAAATAAAAAAAAATGTTACCTTGTTTTATAAAGTATCCTCCCGACAAGTATTTCAGTGCGGACCTGTATTTGATCGTGAGGTCTTGGAGCACCGGCATGCCCACCCTGTGAGGTCTTAGATCACCTGATTCACGAGCCCATTGTACTACATTAACAAAGGCACGAGGGGTTGGTTGGACTCGATTGGGAAACCGATCCGCATAAACATGTGCCATTTTTTATTTCGTTTGAGCCACGCAGCAAACACCACTATTCACTCACGCGTTACCGGCTGACACATTGACTGAATAAAAACATCGTGATCAGCGTTTCAGATTCTTTCGCTTTTTTTCTTTCCGATGCGATGAACCGATAAGGCGGATTATATCCGTTGTTGCGAAACACGAGCACATAATATTATTATTGAGACAGGGCAGTACTCAAACTTCTAAAGGGCTATAACTTTGTTACTTTAATTTACCACAAAAATGTTAAAGGAAAAAAAACATTTCTTTTGATCAGATCTACTCACTGTTAAAATAAATGACTCAACTTCGAAGTCACCCTGTATAATATATAATGAATATTGGTTATTTTTAAATTTATATTTTTATAAGAAAAACAAAGTAGAATAACTGGTCACTTGTACCAGGGGCTTGATTCTAAATGAGTTTCTGCCGTTGAAATTGATTTCGAAGGCGCCTTGTGACGATATACTTGATTATCTATGATGATTTTGACATCTGATTATATTGATCTTCTATATTCAAATTTAGAATCAAGCCTCAGTAGAACTGATAGGCGGCAGCGTCACCTCTTCGCGCACTACAATACAGAGTTTTTCAGTAGACCCACATTGCTGGTTTGATTTCCGTTGTGTCTCCAATGTCTATACCTATACCATACTATTATTGTTAAAAAGTATGAAATAAGGTTCTTTGTTAAAACATGGTCGAGTATAGTGCAAAGGAATATATTACGTTTCAAAAAATAAAAAAAACGTATGTTGAACTGCTGCCTGGTGGGCAATCAGCTGATTCAGTTCTCGAGTTATTGAATAGTATCTTTCATAGTGGATTCTTATTCGTCTTGTCAATTATTACACCAGTATTATTTATCTTACTGCTGATACAGAATTGAAGCATATTGAAAGTATTTTCATACAATTTTTCATGACGCCACACTTGATAATGACAATTGCCAAGCACTGCACTCCCAAAGCTCTCCTAACATCCCGTAACCTGAGTGACGTTTTGTGCGTGTGAGTGTACTGTTACATCGCAACTAACACACTGCGCTTCCACATTGTGTGTTGGTGTACATCAACATTTCGGGTTAGCTAATATGTGACTGTTTTCTTCTCCTTCCTCTTCCCTGTTTATCCTCTATCGTTCCCCGGGTGCACACATCAATCCATAATGTTTTACGTTTCGTTTATTTTTATTTTATTCCGTTTCACACCATCACATACACACGCTATCGGTCTCCACATGTATGGGTTCACACCTACCTCCTGTTCCTTCCCTCCTCCAAATAGTGGGTGCAAACCTTTTACTCCTAATATCCCAACCAGGTAGGGTACGGACCGAGGTGACCTGCGCCCAGTGTGGCGCCCATCTTGGACATGTGTTCGACGATGGACCACCGCCAACGAGGAAGAGGTTTTGCATCAACTCTGCTTCAATGAATTTCATACCGAAAAAGGATGGGAAAGCAGGAGATAGCTAGGATATTTTTGTATTTTCTTTTCATGTCAGTTTTTGTGTTCTCGAATGTAATGGTCGTTTCATTAGAGAGGATTACGTCACACATTAGATAACATGTATGAGTGAACAACATAAAGGCTCTAAAAGCTATGGTATGAGCATAGATAAATTACTGCATTTGTCTTAAGTTAGTTCCCCATCAATTTGTGTTGTCGAAATGACTTGCTAGTGAAACGACTTATTGTTTCATTGATCAATTTGGTTAGAAAGTTAAGCATATGCCACTTAAACGATTTCAGATTTTTGCTATAAAAAATACAGCAAAATGTTCAGTTATGCCTAAATAATTGAAATTATAATTCTTGTTTTTATTGTGCTCGAAAATTATAAAAACCGCCTAAAGCGCAGATGATATTATCATTTATTATTGATTCTGGTAAAATAATGGGCCTACTATAAATACTACATTACTAAAAATATGCATTGGGAGCGTTTAGCAAACCTGAAGAGGTCCAACAGTGCAGCACTTTTATGCTTAATAGCAGTAGCCGTGACGATTTGCATTATGAATCTTTTTTTATATATACACCAGTTACCACGAAGGTCCAAGGCCTAACACCCATGGGGTATCGTGGGGCTATAGGGGGACGCCACACGGACTCTAGCGAGGGAACATGCACACATTCTGGCCCCGCCTTAGAGATCCGCCGGGTGGTACCTCCGCGTAAGACAGTCTGACATAGGCTACCACCTCCGGACAATCACAACATCCAGAGCCAAGAGAAAAAGTTCTCTTGGGCGGGATTCGAACCCGTGCAGCGCACGGCGACTGATTAGGAGACCGTAACGTCTACCACTATGCCACCGCTGCTGCCTGAGCCGCCATCTGACAGTCAAGTGAAAACTGCTCTCAAACTGATAAAGCTATATGCCATTGCTGCACTGCTGGACCGCTTTACATTGGCTGAATGTTCTCATTGATTTGGTAACTACTCTACAAAGTGATCAGATGAAGGGATATACAGTTCATATTGACGATAAGATATAAATGTCGCAATTTCGTTGAGGATAGAAGCACTTGTGTTAGTTTTGAACCCTGAATTGTTTGCTTACCTGGTGATATAATTGTCTACTTCTAATTGAACTGTGAATTGTAAATCTCACATCAGGCCTAGTAGTTGCTTTATATCAAAAGCAGTTTTCATTAGTTATTCCATGGGTAGTTTGCTTCGATTTACACGGAAGCACAATTTAGTCTTTATGGGGCAATCGTGTAGGATCGCCATGACCTACCTGTTGATACTGGTTATTCTTCTAACAATGACATCATGTACTGTCATGAAGATCAGAAAAATAATGTTCTCATGTTTTGAAAACGGGATAGAACAAACAAGAACTTTACATTTAGGTTAATACTTAAAATCATATAAAGTCTCCGTTCATGACAGCCAAAGTTATAAGATTACAGAGGAACTTATATTCCTCGTACTTACGCGCTTATTTGTTCCCTGAACAATCATAGGAATCTTAACGTACAAAATAATAGAATAATACAAAAATATGCAGTAACCTTTGTTTCTTGCTTGTGTTAATCTGAAATACTGATGAAATAGGGCTCAAACCACAGTTTTCTGTTTGTTAATAGCCACCCAATAGTTTAATATCGCAAAGGCAGCTTGATAATGTAGTTTAAGAGAAACGTTTATAGTGGAAATAATTTATTTTTGCTAAGAAAGTGTGAACTGGTTTGTAAAAATATTACCGGATTTACGCATATTGTAAACAACTGAATAATATGTTGATGCTGCTTTAAAATTATAGAATTGTACTGCAGATTAATTTCAGGTGTATACTAATATAAAATATGTAATTTATCTTTTTATGGCGTAAAAATGCTATTTGTGAATAAAATTGCACTATCACCATGTCTGAAGTTTATAATATTTGAATGAAATGAACATGTGATAAAATACTATTCTGTATATAGTAATTTTTATTAATAAAGCTGGTTTAAATAAAAGTATGCTGTTTACTTTATAAAAGGATTTATTTAATATTTTCACTCGCTATCATCTTTCATTGGCAACAATATATCTACGCAATCACAATATATTTTTCCATAAATACTAGTGCAAAAATACTATTACTAAATGTACAATCACACTATCCCCATTCACTCTATAAATTCTGCTCTTTTACTTCATTTAATAATATACTATCGTCTAGATTTATTAAAAAATATAATAAAAACGAACATACATATATGATATGGCTAATAATTATAAAATAAATATACACAACACGTCCATTATTTTAATAAAGCTGAATGAAATAATCATATATACATAAAAATCAAATAAATTCAGTACGAATATTTATACTACCATGATTGATAAAATACAAAGATGGACAATTTTGTCTTCCATTGAGACTTTATCAAGAATCGACAATGTGATTCACCGATTGGTGGAAGTACAGGGTGTGTCCGGAAAGTAATGAGCGTCATTTAGAAAGAAAGATACATCGGATTTGCTTCAAACAGAGTTTGGGGATGCCTACCTGTCATATTCACAAGTAAAAAAGTGGCACAAGTCGTTCCGGAAAGGGCGGGCGGAGGTCGATGACGAAACGCGTTGTCTTCTTCGTTGCTAAGGGAATTGTGAACCACGAGTTTGTACCCCCTGGCCAGACCGTCAATGCTCAATTTTACAAAGATGTTCTTCAAAGACTAAACCACAAGGTCGTTCGCCCGAAGAGAAATTCGGTCGTCATGGAAACTGCACAGGACAACGCACCGTCCCATACCGCTTTGTTATCGTCGCCTACTTGACCCGGATCGGTGTCACTACGGTGCCCCAGCCACCGTACAGTCCCGATCTGGCCCCAGCGGACTTCTTTTTGTTTCCTCGACTAAAAAGGGACCTCAAGGGACAGCATCTGGACACCCCAGACAAGATTCAAGCTACGGCGTCCCTAAACAGTATCCCAGTCGGCTTGGAAATCACGCTGATAACAGTGTGTTGACGCAGGACGGTGCTACTTCGAAGAATATTGAGTTTATTTACTTAAATGATCAATAAATTTTGAAAAGATAAAGCTCATTACTTTCCGGACAATATGTCGTAAAATGCCAATTCTCTTGTCTAGGTACAGGGTATTGAAGTTACATATTTAAGAAATCTGGAAAAAGTTATATACCTACCAAGCAGAAAAAGTTATGTACCCACAATAAATTATTTCGGCATGAAAATTGCTGAAAATATCTTCCACACTATAATTTTTGAATAGACTGTAGCTGAGGAAAACAGTTGTAAAAAAAATGGTTCCAGTTTGTTCATGTTTGTTTTCCATCTCCTGTAACCATGACCAACTGCAGACAGCACTGTTTCGTGCTCACTAACCAACTCATCAGTGTGGTATATGTCTAACGTCTAGTCTTGAAGACAGATGAAACAGAAAGCAAAAGCTCATCAAATTTTTCGCCTACTTGCGCACAATCAATATTACTTTTTAATGATATCGGTGCAAAAACATTCAACAAAAGATTTGTTTTTTATTTTGAAAATGGCCATGTTTGTGTTAAAACTTTATATTGTTTTGCTCATTAGTCGAGACTCCAATCTTCGAAATTACGATTGCTTACCTCTCATCTACAGAACCTCCAGAAAAAAAAAATAGTTCAGATGCTCTCAATGAAGTAACTTTTAATATCATTTAATGTCGATTGTCCACCAGTGCATATTCATTGAAACATAGTCTAGAAATACATTTTTTAAAAACCGAAAGTTGGCACACTGGGAGCGTTTTATAAACTAATTGTATAAATAAAATGACAAAAAAATGGATAAAAAAGCGAAAGCAGGGTATTTAAAAGAAAAATTAATTCAATGGTGACTCTCGAAAAGTAAGCTAATAAATCTGTAAAAATCCAGCCACAGTTTACAACAATTCTATCCAGCTTGAATTGATAAATACAATAGGTAACACACACGAGAAGGGCAACTTCCCACAGAAAAATTTGTTGTTTTTTCGCACTTAGCTAAGATTATGATTAATTATGAATATCTAGCTGGCAGATTATAGTGATGTATTTCTGTGGCTGCAATCTTTTTAAGAAATACAATGTATATAAGTAATATATGCATTTTAGCCTACACTGTTATAAAAACATATCTACAAGATTTTTTATATGCTAAATAAGTGTAACGTGTCAATGTATTAGTCGATCAATATTGAATATTTTCAGATATCACAAGTTACATTCATTTATATTTACGAAAATACACTTTACATTAGAAATTTCTCCCAAAAGTCACCATCTAAGACACGGCTAGACAAAAAAAAATGATTCGTCACGAACAACTTGAAAATGCGATTATTGTGAAATTAGGCACCATCTCCTGTCACTTCAAATAAGTATTCGGTTAAGCAAAAGTCCACATTATATACCTTGAGATCGGATGCTGCTTAAACAGTTTAATGCATGAAGCCTATGCCTTTGTATCACTTAGGACAAATAAATCTTAGTGGATATATTAAATTGTTGAAATGAACACAAAACAAAAAATTGAGACCACATGATGCATTTTTGTACCAACACCTGGCGGTACTGTGTCGTATATCCTATACTGAAGTTCATGGCTGTACAACAGCTACTAGAGGTCCGACGGGATGCAAATACATCAAACTTCCAAAGAGAAACGACAGGGCTCTGTATACGACTGAAGTATATCAAACAGATATGTTGGTACAGATTACAGCAGTTGTAGGTTCAAATCCCGCAAGTTGATTTAGTTACCTTCTCCAAAATGTGAGTTAGATGTGCAGAAATGGCAATCTCAATGTGATCTCAATTTCCTACTGGTCCATATAAAATATATGAGTTGCATGTCGCCACTTCACAGTCTGTGCACGTGGCAACAAAACCAAATAAAAGCTTTGCCACTAGGGTAAGATTTAATGGTAAGCTTTAGACAATAACAATTTCGCAGAATATGACAGCAGCATTTTAAAATAATTTATATCTTACTTACTTACTTTCACTTATCCGAACGACTTCACAACTAAATGCATACGTCCCTAAGATATTACAACCTATATTACTAGAACTGCAAAGCGGTTACACAACTGGAAAAAGTCTTCAATAAAAACTTACTAATCACTATTTATATGTAAGAATTATATTTAGAGACCTTTGTTATCCACGCATAGTTGAAAGTTATAGAATCTCATTTATAAAGGGACTAGAATAACAAAAATATTATCGTAGCCTAATGTACGATTTAAAACTTGTACTGTGGTTATCTTTCGGATTCGTCCTAGTTGAAATTAACTAATAATTAAAAACTAAAAGCACAGGTGCTCAAGGAAGAGGTCGACTTTCGTTTCGGCAGCCACAACAGCATGATATTCTAAATTAATTGTCACGATGTCTCCGCCTCTACACATCTCATTTCAACGGGATATAAAGCTGGAGTTTGACGTAACAGTAATACAAGTATAAAAGTTTTGCAATATGACTTAACAAACGGAGGCAGGACGCTGCATGTTGAGACATGTCCATGAGTGCATAGTAGCCGCCAGGAGTACGTCTGTTGATTCAGTTGTTCATTCGTATTGACAGCGTAAAGTGCGGACTATGGGTATTGACAGTGTAAAGTGCTGACAATGAGCCGTTTTACACAAAAGAGAATTACTCCGAAAATGATGGTCATAATTCGGTGGTGTCGGAGAAAAAGGGGATAAGTCGTTTTTGGGTCAAAATGAGATATGTCCATGCCTAGACTTTAAAATATCATATCTTCTTTCGGATGAAATGAGATAAGTCATATCAACGCAAACAACGGAGCCAAATTGATGTTCTTTTGGAGTCAAGTCCAAAACTGGTCTTAAAATTGTTCAATACGAGATAAGTCAACTTATTTCCTTACGTACAAGACGATCGCGCATTTCACTGTGGGCTAAGGGAGATAAGTTGACATATCCCATTTCGCCCAAATACCTTTTCATTGTTTACAATAGACATATTCCTTTTTGTTCTCAGTTACTGTTGCATTGTCGTAGCATGATTGGTTCTAGTCGTGAAAGTTTCGCTTTAATCGATTAAAAAAATGAGCTTAGGTGAGCAAAAATGTGTCTCAAGGGGATTGCGAATTGTGTCTATGTGTAAACCTCATCAGGCAGTTGCAGTTGGTAAGTAAAATCCGGAGTATTGAGTTTCTGAAAGAAACCTAACCTCAAATTTTTAATATCAAACAGATTAGATCTTACTGTATTTATTTGTTACGTATTAGTTGTTTATCAACAGGTGATATACTTACGGTATAAAATGAGGAGTAAAATTAATAAATTTAATTTTTTGTAGAATGAGTTTGTTCGGCAAAGCTACTAAAAGAACAATAATCCTAATATGTTTCTGTTTTCATTTCATACGAGAATTAGCGGGGAAGTACAGTAGAACTCCAATTATCCGAACTCCGACTATCTGAATCGCCGATTATCCGAATCACTTTAAATTTGTCCAAAGTCCGCGGCGTCAGTGTAGGCACAACAACACGTGGTATGAGTCCCCACTCCAGTTCCGGCACATTGCAGTCACGGCGCACCAATATAGTCAGTGTGCTATTGACCTTGCTCGAGGACGCTACTCTTTCGCTACGGCTTACAATACTATTGTACTGTATTGTTTTTCACCATGGCTTCGAAAAGAAAACGTGTTGTGCTATCGTTAGCGGACAAACTGAAAATTATAGAGCAACTCGATAAAGGTGTAACGGGTAAGAAGTTGTCTGAGATTTATGGTGTTGGACAAGCAACAATTTGTGACATTAAAAACAGTAAGTCAACACTTTTAAACTTTGTTTCGGTGCTTGAAAATGAAGATGGAAGTTCCTCCAGGAAAACAATGAAGACAGCAACCAACAAAAATTTGGAAGATGCCGTGTTTAAATGGTTTTTGCAGCAACGTTCTATGGGAAATCCGATTTCAGGTCCAATCCTTTGTGAAAAAGCCAAAA